GGTTCCGATTATGATACAAATATGGTTCCAATATGGTTCCGATTATGATGCAAATATGGTTCCAATATGGTTCCAATACGGCTCCAAAACACAGAAATGTTTTTTCAGAAAACACATTACCCAAAAACGATCGTTTATAACTTGCCAACCTAATAGAATGAGATGAAAAAAATTAGAGAATTTGAACCTCATAAGTTTGCTCTTCATCTAAATCCATATATGGATGCATTCCGACTTTAAAGTTGAGCCCTTTCCCTTTCAACTCTCGCAGATAAGCATTGTTTGAGGCAAAGTTTTTCGCCACCGCAACGCTCTCTTTCGTTAAAATCCTTTTCGCAAACCTAAGCTCTTTTTGGGATTTCGATGAGTTTTTTTTGGCAAACTTTTTTCCAAAAGTTGCAAAATCATTTTTTTGATCACCGAGAATGGGCAAAAGGTTGGCTGGAAGATTGTCGAAATTGAGATAGGTGATCTGAAAAATGATTGACAAGACTTTTAGGACAAAACTTTAACACTTTATGAGTTTAGGGAAGTAGTTGCTCTTCAAATTATCTATGCCAAATTTTATTATCTATACCAAATTTTGATCTCTACTCACAGGGGAATGTCAATTGGGAAGTGGTGGTTAAATGACGGGTGATTCAACGCCGATCCCGAATCTGCTTTCCGTTTTTTCTATAGAGCAACGGGCAAAAGGTCGACTGAGTCCCTTTGAGAGCATAAACCACTTGGTGTCACAGGAGACAAAGGGCTCAGGTTTAGGCTTAGGCTCAGACTCAGGCTTAGGCTAAGACTCAGGCTCAGGCTAAGACTCAGGCTTAGGCTCAGGCTTAAGCTTAGGCTCAGACTCAGGCTCAGGCTCAGACTCAGGCTTAAGCTCAGGCTAAGACTCAGGCTTAGGCTCAGGCTCAGACTCAGGCTCAGACTCAGGCTTAAGCTCAGGCTCAGACTCAGGCTCAGACTCAGGCTTAGGCTCAGGCTTAGGCTTAGGCTTAGGTTTAGGCTTAGGCTTAGGCCCATATCATTTGTCCAACACACCCAGTTGACATTCTTTTATCATCACTACCTGATCATTATCAGTGTCGTCCTTTTGAGTGACTTTCCCATGATCTACCTGAGTGGTGACATCCTTTTCACTCTCCGTATCGATCTCGATTTTGATATGCGTTTTGTTCTTCGTGTGAATGTGTTGTAGAATGTTTAGTAATTGCCCAGAAACGCTTTGGGGTTTTGGCTCGGCATGAGCACCAAAAACGAATGCAGCAACCACCAAAATTAGCATTTTAGAGTAATAAAAAAAGTGATGTAGCTAAAATGAAAGGAATTTCCCTCACTACGCAATATCAATTTCGTTGAAAAATGCTGGGAAAACTTCCGTGAGACACTTTCCCTTTTGCGCAATATTTGAGAGACTCAGCGAAGAGCGAGAATTGAGAGATCATTGGCCAAAAATGTTAAATATCCGTTTCCTGCACTTTTTCTTTTTTTGTTTGTACATTCTTGGGAGAAAAGGTGACAAACCAACTGATCGTTTCAATAAAAATCGATCGTTTCAATGAAAATTACACTATTAGATAGGGAAAGGATGTACAGGAGCCCAAGCCCAAGGCCAAGCCCAAGCCTAAGCCTAAGCCTAAGCCTAAGCCCAAGCCCAAGCCTAAGCCTAAGCCTAAGCCATGATTGTTGCCTCAATGTATCACCCTCCGTAACAAGATAACCTGGCTCTTCTCAAGGAACAACTCTTGCCCTGGGCTTGTCAAAAACTTTGGAAAATTTGGATAGCATTTGGAAAATCGCATCTGGATTTAATAACAAGATGGCGCAGGCTCAGAAATGAAAGAAAGTCAAAGAGTTCTGCTAAAACAACTTCCCGGACTTCTTTTCTTCTCAGTGACCACCGAGCCTGAGCCTGAGCTCTCCATGAGCCTGAGCTCTCCATGAGCCTGAGCTCTCCATGAGCCCGAGCTCTCCATGAGCCCGAGCTCTCCATGAGCCCGAGCTCTCCATGAGCCCGAGCTCTCCATGAGCCCGAGCTCTCCATGAGCCCGAGCTCTCCATGAGCCCGAGCTCTCCATGAGCCCGAGCTCTCCATGAGCCCGAGCTCTCCATGAGCCCGAGCTCTCCATGAGCCCGGGTTCCCCAAAAGCGGAGCCCCCCAGGAGCACCCAAGAGCGCAGGAACCCCTGAGCCCATGAGCTCTCCATGAGCCTGAGCTCTCCATGAGCCTGGAGCTCTCCATGAGCCTGAGCTCTCCATGAGCCCGAGCTCTCCATGAGCCCGAGCTCTCCATGAGCCCGAGCTCTCCATGAGCCCGAGCTCTCCATGAGCCGAGCTCTCCATGAGCCGAGCTCTCCATGAGCCGAGCTCTCCATGAGCCGAGCTCTCCATGAGCCGAGCTCTCCATGAGCCGAGCTCTCCATGAGCGGTCTCCATGAGCCGAGCTCTCCATGAGCAGAGCTCTCCATGAGCTCTCCAGAGCCGAGCCTCAATCCAATCGATTTTTCCATGTGATCCATCGGCCAACGATTGTTCAAAGATCGGCCAAAGATTGTTCAGGCTTAGGCTTAGGCTTGAAGAAATCAAGAAACATCGAAAGCTTGAAGAAATCAAGAAACTCGATTCAACCTATTTGGTTGGAGAGTTCGATCCAGCCCATTTGATCGCCACCACCGTTGACGCCTTCTCGAAACGCCAACGAAGCGCCAACGAAACGCAACGAAAACTGTAAAACTGTACATCAGCGCTATCTGCTTATCTCTGAAAAATTATCTTCTGATAATCTTCAAAGTTTTTTTTTTCAGCGCAACAATTTATAAAGTTTTTAACCAAAATTAGACCAAATCTTAAAAATGCACAAGTCGATCTCAAGAGGGACGTCGAATGGGGACGGAAATGCTCAACTCAATGCCCAACTCAATGCCCAACTCAATGCTTTTCGTCGCTTCCCAGACCTCCACACCCTTCCAGACCTCCACACCCTTCCAGACCTCCTCACCCCTCCAGACCTCCTCACCCCTCCAGACCTCCACACCCTTCCAGACCTCCTCACCCCTCCAGACCTCCTAATGCTTTCAGGCTTTCAGGATATTCTTGAATCAAAGCTGGCTACCTAGATGCTCCGCTAGTTCCATTCGAGACTCCGAATGATCTTTATTTTAAATTTAAAGCCGTACTTTGTGAGGATGAAAACTGTGCATCTTTGCTTTCTTTGCAGCTTTATGCTCGTTGTTGTGCGAAATGATGTTTTTCCCATTGCATCAACGAATGTCATCAATGTGGCGGCACTGTCATCGACTACCTCCAAATGGCGGCGACGTCACGCGAAAATTAACATTTAACACCGATAGATGACCGATAGATTTACAAACAAAGAGATACAGTCGAACCTCTCTATAACGAACCTCTCTATAACGAACCTCTCTATAACGAAGCTCGATACAACGTAAACCTCTCTATAACGTAAGGCGTGACCGGTCCCGGCCGACGTTAAGCTATATAAAACGGCACTCTATATAACGTAAACCTCTATATAACGTAAGCTATAGCCGTCCCCGTGAGTTACGTTATAGAGAGGTTCCACTGTATTTGTTTTTTCGTTACAAATCTATCTTTAGCATTGATATTTTTGGGGGGATTTCTTTAGTCGATTCAAAAGCTCTTGTGATTCTCTTTTTTTTGAGCTAGAAATCATGAAAATCGGGTAGATTTAAAGAAAATTAGAAGCGCTTTTAGTTTACGTTTATCGTTTTGAAATCAAAATTTTACCCATTGAGATTTGGCGATCAAAAAGCGAATCATGAAAAAAAAAAAGTCGATTGCAGATCGGATTTCAGCGAAGATTTGGTTGAATGGTTTTCATTCAAAAAAAAACGTTTCTTTTCTTTCTGTCTTTTCTGGCGTCTCTTTCTTCTCTTTCTTTTCTTTCTTTTCTTTCTTTCCCCTTTTTTTCACCATTCTCTTCTCCTAGACGAAACAAAATTCCCCCTTGAATTGATTCTCTTTTTAAGGGGAAAATTTCATGAGCGAATTTTCTTTCGAATCTTTTATTCTACTTTGTGCTTTGTGCTATGCGGAAACGCAAGCTGACATCCGGAATAGCGTCGCGAAACGCTTTCCGTTGTTTCGAGGTTCAATTACTCAATTTCAATCTGGCTGGCTTAGCTTTACTATTGATCATTGACCCAATTAACCTATGATCAGTGTACTTTGTGCTCAAGCCTGGTGTGATATCCAGAATAGGCATTGAGCTGAAAAATTTGAGGCGGTATGCCAGAGGGCGTGCGCTTACTTGAGCTCAAAGTACCGAGGTCGGAGTGCCTTGCCAAAACATTACTAGAGTGCTGTAAAGCAAGGTCCTAAATATAGTGTGATATCCAGAATAGGCATTACTTTGAAAATCTTAAGGCAGTGTGCCAGAGGACGAGCGTTTACTCGAGCACAAAGTACCGGGGCCAGACCACCCTATCAAAAAATTGCTAGAGTGCGGTAAATCGAGGTCCTGAATACAGCGTGATATCCAGAATAGGCATTGAACTAAAAATTTTGAGGCGGTATGTCAGAGAACGTGCGTTTACTTGAGCACAAAGTACCGGTGTCAGACCACCCTATCAAAACATTGCTAAAGTACTCTAAATTGAGATCCCAAATATAGTGTGACATCCAGAATAGGCATTACTTTGAAAACCTTAAGGCAGTGTGCCAGAGGACGAGCGCTTAGTCGAGCACAAAGTACACGGCGCGTCAAGGTGACTTTGTGTGCCAGAAATCGTGCGTTTCCGTGAGCACAAGGGGAAACTATCGCTCCCAAATATCAATCTCCATATCACCGCGAAGAAATCTCTCATTGTTTGGAGGCAATTATCTTTTTCTTTTTGCCAGTTGCCAGCCAATTCTCTCAATGTCATTTTTTTTTCTTTACCGAACACATTGATCGCTTTTCTGCGATAACTGACCTAAATTTTACAAAATTTGCATTTAGTTTTCATTTTTTTTTTGACTAAATGTGGCAATTTTCGACTTCACTGTGCATTTTTTTGCTAATTCTACGAAATTCGAATTGTTTCGACTATGACTCAAGGTATTCCTTTTTAAAATTCAAATCTCACTCCCAAAACCAAAAGTGACATCCAGATTGATGGAAAAGCGGTTGAGGTAGAGCTTGGGCCAAAGCCAGACCGAGATCAAGGCCAGGGGGGGTGGAGAGGGGGTGGTGGTTCCTGCCCCTAGCCTGGCTTTTAACTAAAATCTCATCCCCAAAACCAAAAGTGACATCCAGATTGATGGAAAAGCGGTTGAGGTAGAGCTTGGGCCAAAGCCAGACCGAGATCAAGCCAGGGTCAGGGTAGGATGGTTATACCTGATCCTTAGCCTAGCTTTTTGAACTAAAATCTCATTCCCAAAACCAAAAGTGACATCCAGATTGATGGAAAAGCGGTTGAGGTAGAGCTTGGGCCAAAGCCAGACCGAGATCGATCCACGGTCAGGGTAGGATGGAAAAGCGTGATCCTAAGCCTAGCTTTTCAAGTTCAAATCTCACTCCCAAAACCAAAGGTGACATCCAGATTGGCAGAAAAACGATTCAGATAGAGTTTGGGCCAAAGCCAGACCGAGATCGAGCCAGGGTTAGGGTAGAGTGGTGGCCTGATCCTGTCCATCGCTTTTTTAGTTAAAATCTTATTCCCAAAACCGAGAGTGACATCCAGATTGATGGGAAAACGGTTTAGAATAAAAACTTCCTTCGAAAAATTTCAAGCTTTGGTCGTGAACAGCTTTCGAGCTGTACATAGCTCTACGCATTAGCAAAAATTTGCAGCTAATGGTTGTTAGGAAATTGGTTTACCTTAAAAAAAATAAGCCATTCCTGGCTTTAACCGGACCTAACTTACAACTGGCTGTCCTGAATTGAGCAATGAAAGAAACTAGACTTGGGATCGGCTCTGGCTCTGGCTCTGGCTTGATCCTGACTCTGTCATGGCCTTGTGTCATGACCGTCGCCTTGCTTTAGGTCCCAGACTTGCCCTGGACCTGATTTTGACTTGAATGCTGACCCTAAAGTGACCCTGATCTGGCTTTGATCGATCTGAGCCTGGCCTACACCCGGCATGGTTTTGGCTCATAAAAGAAGCCAGGAAAGTCTCGACCAAAGTCAGGCTTTGACCGATCTCTCGCCTTGATCTTGACTCTGATCCTTTTCTGGGTTGAGTCTTCTAAAATCTTCTAGAATCTCAAAAAAAATCTGTTGAAGTTTATAGACCTTTAAGGACTTTCAATCAGGTAGATGCCTAAATTAAGGCCATTAATCTCAATCTGCAACTTTAGTACCGAGTTTTTTTTTTCAGCTCCTCTGAAGAAGATGATGATCATTGGCAGTGCGGGACGGACTTTCTGACTAAAACGATGAGCGAGGGACAGATTGAGACCGATTGCCCGACGTTGAAAGGTTTATTGAAAACACAGCTATGACAGTGATCCAGTGAAAGCTGCCAGGCTCGGCTATTGCACAGTATTATAGTATTGTACGCTAGAAGATCTTGACCTGGCTTCTGACCAGATCTGGATCTGGGCTGGTTCTGGCCCAGGACTGGATCTGGATCTGGCCTGGATCTGGATTCGGACCTGGGCCTGCCCCTGGATCCGGAACTGGGACTGGCCCTGGAGCTGGAACTGGGTCTGAATTTGGAACTGGGTTTGGCCCTGACCTGGAACTGGAACTTAGACCTGAACTTGGACCTGGGCCTAACCCTGACCTGGCTCTGAATCTGGACTTGGATCTGGACCTGACCTGAACCTGGAACTGGGATCTGGTCCTGGAACCTGATCCTGGAGCTAGATCTGGATCTGGATCTGGAACTGGGCCTAGTCCTGGCCTGGATCTGGACTTGGATCTGGACCTGACCTGGACCTGGAACTGGGATCTGGTCCTGGAACCTGGTCCTGGAGCTAGATCTGGATCTGGAGCTGGAACTGGGCCTAGTCCTGGCCTGGATCTGGATTTGGATCTGGACCTGGCCTGGACCTGGAACTGGGACCTGGTCCTGAACCTGGTCCTGGACTATATTACTGTTTTACTAATACCTGTGGTAGAGCCAGTTCGCCAGGAAGGAAGGAAGGGGAGGAGAAAGGGAGCCTTAAGCTAAACCCAAACCCAAATAGCCGCTAGCCGTCTGCTAGGTCAGTCTAGGCTACTACATAGTACTATAGTACTGTACGCTAGATTGTACGCCTGGCTTCTGGCCCGGTCTGGACTTGGATCGGAAAGTGGACGGTGAACTGAGCCTAAGCCTGGATCTAAGCCTGGATCTAAGCCTGGGTCTAGGCCTGGGCCTAAGCCTGGACCAAAGTCTGGGCCAAAGCCTGGGCCTAAGCCTGGGCCTAAGCCTGGGCCTAAGCCTAAGCCCCATGCCAACGTTGTTCAGCACAAAGTACACCAAACTCTTTCCAGAGCCAATCAACAATTGCTGTATTTCCCACGATTTATGCTACGATCAGCAATTGGGGAAGAAACACTGTGATGATGTCTTTTGCAAGTGTTTAATGGTTTCTTTCATTATCATACCTCGGCTACAGGATCCTATCAGAGTACGGTAACCTTCCCCACCTTTCAGGAAGCCTCCCGCCCATCGACAATCTGTTACAAAGAGGACGCTCCCCTATTTTGTGCTCTCGTCGTCAAATTCGGCGATGAGGCATATGTGTGAGTTCCAGGAAGAGAATTTGATCGGAAAACTTTTGCGCTTGCCTTAGCCCTGGTCTAGGTTGGACTTGGTTCGAGCTTTGATCTCGGTCTGGCTTTGACCCAAGCTCTATCTCAATCGTTTTTCTGTCAATCTGGATGTCACTTTTGGTTTTGGGAATAAGATTTGAACTTAAAAAGCTAGGCTTAGGGTCAGATAGATCCACCCTACCCTGACCCTGGCTCGATCTCGGTCTGGCTTTAGCCCAAACTCTATCTCAATCGTTTTTCTGCCAATCTGGATGTCACTTTTGGTTTTGGGAATAAGATTTGAACTTAAAAATCAATCGTCAGGATCAGGCATTTCCATCCTATCCTGACCCTGACTGGATCCTGATTCTAGTTTGCCCAGTGTCCAAAATTTGAAGCTAATTCTTCAATCTGGATGTCACTAGGGCCAATGGTTGTTAGGAAACTGGTCTCTCGCGTAAAAAATAAGTTAGTCAGACGTCAGACGAATTTTCAGCGCTTCCGGGAACAAGACTGGAAACGCCACCGAGTCAGCTAAGCCAAAGGGTTGGTTAATAGACTTGAAGCCTTTAGTTAACAAGTTCAGATTAAGTTTCGAATTCAAATTCCAGCGACAATCACTTTCCCGCCTCGTCCAGTCATCCACGAGATTCTCGTCCCGAAAGCACAACAACAAGCCCATCGAATTCGACCAAAAATCGCTCCAGCTTCAAGCCAAGCTAAGCAGAGGTACAGTAGTCTTTTGTAGTCTTTTGGGGGTTTAAAACTAGCTCCCCTGTAATTTTGGTACTTTTTTTCAGTTTCTCTGGTGTCAGTGCTGATCGAATCCTACTCGTCAATCGACCACTCGATTTGTCGGGAAATCCGAACTGAACTTAAAAATTTGCATATTTTTAAATTCCATCAATTGCTCAGCCTATTACTTGCCAAAAAACATCCAAATAATCTTTGTGATACTCAGTTGAATTGGATTTCAAATAAAGTTATGCTAATCTAAGGAAACTGTAAGATTTCAGTGCACTGACTTCCAGCTTGAAGATTGGCGTTGGTTTAGTTGCTCAATTCAAAATGCAAGGGGCACAAAATAGCAAGCGCTCGTTTGCACGAGAACCAAGTACACTACAAAGAACAAGTTGTTGATGTAATCGCTCGCTAACTGGTGCAGTGACTTCCAGCTTGAAGATTGAAGTTGGTTTAATTGCCCGGTTGAAAGCACAGGGACGTAAAAGTGAACGAGCTCGTTTGCACGAGAACCAAGTACACTACAAAGAACAAGTTGTTGATGTAATCGCTCGTCATCTAGCGCAGTGACTTCCAGCTTGAAGATTGAAGTTGGTTTAATTGCCCGGTTGAAAGCACAGGGACGTAAAAGTGAACGAGCTCGTTTGCACGAGAACCAAGTACACTACAAAGAACAAGTTGCTGATGTAATCGCTCGCTAGCTGGTGCAGTGACTTCCAGCTTGAAGATTGAAGTTGGTTTTGTTGCGCAATTCAAAATGCAAGGGGCACAAAAAAGCAAGCGCTCGTTTGCACCAGAACCAAGTACACTCCAAAGAACAAGTTTCTGTTGTAATCGCTCGTCATCTAGCGCAGTGACTTCCAGCTTGAGGATTGACTTTAGTTTAATTGCCCCGTTCAAAGCACAGAAAAGAGAAAGAGCTCGTTTTTTGTGAAACGTGTGAAAGTGATCGTTTTGTGTAACATCCGCTCCTCTCTTTCTTTTCATATGGCTGAGGTTTGGCTTGACTTGGCACCCGTTTCCATTTCTGATGCATTCCCGATTCTCTAGTGAGTTCAAGTATGGAACTGAAACTGAACCTGTCTACAGGTCTGAGATCTGAGACTTACCACTAGACTTGAATTGAATCGAATCTGATTAATCGATCCGATTGCTGTAAATTGAGATTCAACATGTGCTGTGACATCCAGAATAGACATTAAGCTGAAAACTTTTATGTGTTGTGCCAGAGGACGAGCGTTTACTTGAGCTCAAAATACCGGGGTCATAGTGCCTTGCCAAAACATTGCTAGAGTACTCTAAATTGAGATTCTAAATATAGTGTGACATCCAGAATAGGCATTAAGCTGAAAACTTTGAGGCGGTATGCCAGAGGACGAGCGTTTACTTGAGCTCAAAGTACCAAGGTCAGAGTACCTTGCCAAAACATTGCTAAAGCACTTTAAATTGAGCTTCAACATCTGCTGTGACATCCAGAACAGGCATTAAGCTGAAAACTTTGTGGCGGTATCGCAGAGCACGTGCGTTTACTTGAGCACAAAGTACAGCTTCATTTTGAGCTGAAAAACTTTCAAAAACAATCACACTATCAAAAAGATCAAAGCCAACCGCGAAGGCAATTGATTTTCCAGTCAATTTTTGGCAAATTTCCCCATCATTAATCGCTCTTTTTCTCTCATTTTTCTCTAAATCTCTCAAACTTTTTTTCCCTTTGATCTCGCCGCCTTTTCAAATTTCACCGCCACACTGATAATGGCAAAAATAGTAAAAAAAAATCGAGCGAAACTCGATTTTCTTCAAATTTTTTATAGTTTTTAACCGTTTTATTCCAAATTTTATCTGTTTTACTTGTTCCAAAAAAAACTTGACATCACTTTTTGTTTTCCGGACTCATACTGTCTTTTCGTTGGCTAAAATAATCGAAATTTTCAAAGTTTTGCCTATTCTGGATGTCACAGCACTGGATGAATCTCAATTTAGAGTACTCTAGCAATGTTTTGGCAAGGCACTCTGCCCCCGGTACTTTGAGCTCAAGTAAACGCGCGTCCTCCGGCACATTGCCTTAAGATTTTCAAAGTTTTGCCTATTCTGGATGTCACAGCACATGTTGAATCACAATTTAGAGTACTCTAGCAATGTTTGGCAAGGCACTCTGAGCCCGGTACTTTGAGCTCAAGTAAACTCGCGCCCTCTGGCTCATTGCTTCAAAATTCTCAGTTTAATGCCTATTCTGGATGTCACAGCACATGTTGAATCTCAATTTACAAAACTCTAGCAATGTTTTGGCAAGGCACTCTGACCCCGGTACTTTGAGCTCAAGTAAACGCGCGTTCTCTGACATACCGCCACAAAGTTTTCAGCTTAATGCCTATTCTGGATATCACAGCACACATTGAATCTCAATTTACTGTACCCTAGCAACATTTTGGCAGAGTACTCTAGTGTACTTTATGCCTTGGTGTACTTTGTGCTTTCACGTAAACCTGTCGTTTCTGGCGCACGTCTGGAGCATATAAGTGCCCGATTCAGCTAGCAAAATCTTTCTAAATTTCTAAAATGATATATAAATCCCCTTTTCCCATTTCAGCAATCAATTGAGTCGGTGAAGATAAAAGGCCAAAAAAAGAGAGCTCTTTTTGGTTTTTTTATGCGTTTAGATCAAGAATTTGATAGTATTTCCCTTCTTTTTTCCCTTTTTCAAACCCTTTTCAAGTTTGCAAATGTTTTAGAAAACGTTCAAGAACAGTTTTTTTGGGTAACTAAACCAGCAATAGCACAATGCTATAGAGCGGTGTGATAGATGGCGTGCGTTTGCACATTTTAAAGTGTGACTTCCAGTTCAGCGAAATAGATGGAAATTATTTCGATAGCCTTAGGGAAACGCGAGTTTTAGCCATGATCTCATTCCAAGCTTGTTCTCAAGGGTACTTTGTGTTTTCTCGTAAACGCAAACCTTCTGGTGCACTTCTGATGCCCATTTCTTGTGATTGCTCTTCTCAAGAATTGGCTTTTCTTGTTTTCAATCGATTTTTTTTCATTCCATGCATTTATGCAAATTCGGAGGGCCCGGTGGCTGTACTGTCAAAGAAATTAGCATATATCTTTAAAAATGAAAGATCACAGCTCTGATCAATTCCAATTCTTAAATGATATCCAACTAAGATATATTCAAAATATCAAAAGGTTTCCAATATCTAGAAATGAGAAAAAGAGCCAGTCCTGTAACCGACTAAAAATGCCTTCTCGAAAATGAATCATATCAAGAATCGGTCTTTGCCAAATTTTAAGCTGACATCCAACTAAGCTATAGCCAAAAGATCAAAAACTTTTCTCTATCTAGAACCGAGAAAAAGAGCCAGCCCTGTAACCGACTAAAAATGCCTTCTCGAAAATGAATCATATCAAGAATCGGCCTTTGCCAAATTTTAAGCTGACATCCAACTAAGCTATAGCCAAAAGATCAAAAACTTTTCTCTATCTAGAACCGAGAAAAAGAGCCAGCCCTGTAGCCCACTAAAACCCGTCAATAAATCTATTTAAAGAACTAAGTTTTCGAACTTTTTTTCGAACTTTCGAACTCGAATTTTTTAATGGATTTCTAGTATCTGGAATTCACAGCACATGTTAAAGTACAAAGTTGCTTATTTTAGCCAATTTTAGCCAATTTTAGCCATTTTAATGCTATTGATTTGGGTGTGGTTTGAGAATGGGCGGCTACAAGTCGTTAGCCTAAAGAGAAGCCCGAATTTTTTGACGGATTTCCACGATCTGGAATGCACAGCATCTGCTAAAGTGCAAAGTTGCTTATTTGAGCAAATTTTAAGATTATTGCTTATTGTTACTTATAAAAGCTGAAAACTAGAAATTCACCTAGTAGTCCAAAAGGAAACCATAGAATACGACACAAATATCAAAAAGAAAAGATAAAAGGAGAAAGAAATGGGGGAAATGGACGGAAAAAGGGGTGTCGGCGTGGCTTTGAAGTCTGCGGGTTGGCGGAGAGATAGGGGCATCTGTGCCTAGCCTTTTTCCTTCCCCTGAGTGAGTGTGAACCCCCAGTGACATCCAAAAGAACCATCCCTTCCATCTTTTCTTTCTTTTCCCCCAATCTCTTTGTCTTTTTTGATCCCTTCTCCTTTCTTCTCCCAAAAGCAGTCGCGTTGCGGCCTCCTCTTCATTCGTCTTTCCCCCCTTGTCCTTTGCCCTATCCATTCTCTCCCTAAACGACACCCTAGCCTTGTACTGGATGCATTTTCTTGATATTTTGATTTTTCTTGATATTTTGATACTTTTGATATTCAATTCGTAATACTGTGAATGAGTTTTGAAGGGATTCCTGGTTTAATCTTAAAATTCGCTAAAACAAGGAACTTTGGACTTTAGCAGATGCTGTGCATTCCAGATCGTCGAAATCCATCAAAAAATTCGGGCTTCTTATAAGCTGACGACTGGTAGTCGCCCATTCTCAAACCCCACCTAAAGCAATAATATTAAAATTCGCTAAAACAAGTAACTTTTCACTTTAGTAGATGCTGTGCATTCCAGATCGTCGAAATCCATCAAAAAATTCGGGCCTCTTATAAGCTAATGACTTGTAGCCACCCATTCTTAAACCCCACCCAAAACAATAATATTTAAATTCGCTAAAACAAGGAACTTTGGACTTTAGCAAGTGTTGTGCCTTCCAGATCGTGGAAACCCGGCCAAAAATTCGGGCTTCTTATAAGCTGACGACTGGTAGTCGCCCATTCTCAAACCCCACCTAAAGCAATAATATTAAAATTCGCTAAAACAAGTAACTTTTCACTTTAGCAGATGCTGTGCATTCCAGATCGTCGAAATCCATCAAAAAATTCGGGCTTCTTATAAGCTGACGACTGGTAGTCGCCCATTCTCAAACCCCACCTAAAGCAATAATATTTAAATTCATCAAAATAAGCAACTTTGGATTCTAACAAGTGCTGTGAATTCCAGATCCTAGAAATCCATCAAAAAATTCGGGGCTTCTCGTTGGAAATGGCAAGCCAAGGGCAGGGTCTGGTTCAAAGCCGGATCCAGCTTAGCTATATGATATTCTGTCTCATTTTTCTCCACACCTCTACTAGATAAACCTATTTTCTACGTCTAAACTCGATTGTCGATCTTGGTTTTCATCGATTTTCCCTCAATTTCCAGCAATTCTTCTCAAATTCCACGACGAAATCGTGCCAACTTTTGCCGATTTTTGGTTAATTTCCGTTTAATTTCCAGCTAATTTCCAGTCAATTCCCTTTTCAAAAATGGAAAATTGTGCAAAATTTCCCAAATAATTGCCTGAATATCGTTTAATTTCGTTCAAAAAAAAAATGCATTATCTGCTTGAAATTTGATGGAAAAAAAAAAATTGATTTTATCATTTTTTTTTGTCGCCCAAAAATGACTCATTTTGATCAAAATTTTTCGCTTTTTTAGCTAATTTTTGAAGTAATTTCTAGTTTTTTCAAAGTAAAATAGAGAAATTTAGCTTTATTTCTAGAGAATTCACTTTTAAAAAAAGCACGACTTTTCTTGAGAAAATCGGAAAAAAATTGGAAAAAAATTGGAAAAAAATCGAAATTGAAAAAAATTGAAAATGAAATTTTGTGATTTTTTGAATTTTTTTTTTTGAATTTTTTGAAATTTTGATTTTTTTATTTTTTGAATTTTTTTGAATTTCTTGGTAAATTTAGTTATTTTAAATGATTTAAAATAAATTTAGAGAGCTTTGAATCGTGGTTTCTTCAGCTACGGCTGTGTTTTTCTGGGTTTGAAATGATCGATTGGCCGACTTCTTGGTCGAGAAGTCTCGAAAATGTACTACAAGTCAGTTTCTTTTTTTCTTTCTTTCTTTCTTTCTTCCTTTCTTTCTTTCTTTCTTTCTTCCTTTCTTTCTTTCTTTTTCTTTCTTTCTTTAGTCTTCAATCAGTTTAGCTACGGTTTAAACAACTAACCATCAAAGCTTTCATCGAAGTGCTTCTGAAGGTATTAGCAGGATCATCATTGACAGACTAAACAGAAGAAAATTAGTTACCGTATTTTCTCTAATAGTAGTGCGCACTACTATTTTTTTAGCCCCCACCTGGACGGCAATAATATTAGAGGGTGCACTACTATTAGAGAGAATACGGTAAACAGAATTTAGTGGGTTTTAAGCATCTAAATCGATTCAATCAATCAATTCAATCGTTTCAATCGTTTTACTCGTTTCAATTCCACAGTTTAACCAGTAACCTAGTTTTTAACCAGTAACAAACCTATCGAAGATCAGCTTTGCTTTAGAGTTAAACGTTAAACGTTCAGAGAGTCTTAATTTCTTCTTTTCACTTCTTTTAAAAGTAGTGAGAGGCTGTGTGAGCTCCAGAAAGACTTTTTTTGAAACCCCCAAATGGGACTCATCCATTACACGGAGTAGAGGGGTCCAGTCTTGGACACGGCACTAGAGGACAAAGTTTTTTGTGAAAATCGAAAATCTGAATCCCAGAATTTCTAGAGTGACATCCAGATAGAAGAAAAAACGAAATTAAAATCAAATGGCTCTTGTCGTTTTCTCGGAATCATCTCAAACTCTGACAGGCACATCAAGTACAATTATTTTAGCGAAAATCGAAAATCTGAATCCCAGAATTTCTAGAGTGACATCCAGATAGACGAAAAAACGAAATTAAAATCAAATTCCTTTTCTCAATTTTTTGGAATCATCTCAAGCTTTTAGCCAGTGCACATCGAGTACAATTGTTTTCGCGAAAATCGAAAATCTGAATCCTAGAATTTCTAGAGTGACATCCAGATAGAAGAAAAATCGCCATTTGAATCAAATGGCTTTTCTCAATTTTTTGGAATCATCTCAAACTATGACGGAGCACATCGAGTACAATCATTTTCACAAAAATCGAAACTCTAAACCCCAACAATTCTAGTGTGACATCCAGATAAACGAAAAAACGAAATTAAAATCAAATTTCTTTTCTCAATTCTTTGAAATCAACTCAAACTCTTAGCCAGTGCACATCGAGTACAATTATTTTCACGAAAATCAAAATCTGAACCCTAAAAACTCTAGTGTGACATCCAGATAAGCGATTCGTCGCCTCTTGAGCAACTAAACCGCTTGCCACCTGGTGGATCGCACCTGGTGGAGCGCCAATCCTTGAACTGAAGCTGAGCTCTGCCCTCGAACTGTCAAAAGTTGTGCATTTTAGTGCACAAAGTACAGAGAGTCAGTTCTGCAAAAAAATGTAAACGCTCGCCACCTGGTGGATCGCTTTTTTGGGGGGGGTTTAACTATCCAATTTGTCAGCTTTATCACACAAAACTTTTTTTCAGTAATTTTTTTTTTCTTTTTTCGATCAAAGTCTATCCATTTCTTTTGCAAGATTCTTGTTTTTTAAGAAAAAAAAACACAGGCAAATCGGTCGTAAAACGGGCGCCAATAGGGTCGTTTTCGAAGGAAAAATAAACGGGAAACCATGCTTTCGAAAAGAAAAATGAGGAAACCTTTCGTTTTGAGCGTTTTGAGCGTTTTGAGCGAGCTTTTGAGTCGGATACAGTTTAAGAATTGATTTTTTTAAAGAAAGACCCGTTTCCTAACAACCATTGGCCCATTGGCCCTAGTGACATCCAGATCGAAGGATTAGCTGAAAATTTTTGACCTGGAGCAGACCAGAACCAGAATCCAGTCAGGGTCAGGGTAGGGTGGATATGCTTGATCCTAAGCCTAGCTTTTTGAGTTAAAATCTCATTCCCAAAACCGAATGTGACATCCAGATCGACGAAAAACCGAAACAGATAGAGCTTGGGCCAAAGCTAGACCGAGATCAAGGCTGGGTCAGGGTAGAGTGATGACCGGATTTTAGGCTTAGCTTTTTGAGTTAAAATCTCATTCCCAAAACCGAGAGTGACATCCAGATTGATGGAAAAACTGTTTAGAATCAAAAGTTTCTTTGAAAATTTTGAAGCTTTGGTGATGAACAGATTTCTGTTGATGAAAGGCTTTCCGCTGATGACCAGCTTTCCGTTGATGAACAGCAATTTTAGGATCGAGCCGCCTGTGATGCTTTTCGATCGTGGCTAGTGGCAAACAATGTGCAACACGGGCTGGAGTTGCACTTTGCTGTTAGGTTGGTTAGAAAGGTTGAAAGTTGAAGTTGAAGTTGAAATCTTAATGCCAATCGATTCCAGAGCCTACACGATGATGGTCCGAGATCGAAATCCACAAGCCGGTGATCTAGCCAAGCAAATCTATCAACGATACGTTTCGTTGAGGACGGGAACAGCAGCTTTCATCCCGGCAAGGATACGACAAGAGGTAGCTGAGAAATTTGCGTAACTAAACCGAACCTGCGTAACCGAACACTGACTGCGTAGCTGGCTGCGTAACTGACTGTGTAACTGACTGCGTAGCTGACTGCGTAACTGACTCAAAATCGAATGCCTCTTTCAGCTTTCCAATCGGATCAAACAACCGAATTTTGTGGCCGATCCGCGCTTTTTCGATTTGATTTCGCCGTTTGTCGAGGATTATCTGAGGAAACAGGTAAATCACTATAACAATTCTTAGCTAGTTACTCATTGGATCGACTCTGAGCCTGGAATTGATCCGGGCTCTGGTCCTAGTCTGGTCCTAGTCCCCTGGAACGGACTGGACTGAATAGAAACAAAATTCCCGATCAAGTCAGCCAAAAAGCCGATCAAGCCGATCAAGCCAGAAAGGTCAAAAGCCAATCTAGGCGTTCAGCTAAGCTTATGCAAAAGTGTAAAATCGGCTTTTGGTAAAACCGGCTTTTGATAAAATTTGATTTCCAGATATTTTAGTGTGCATTCCAACTAAGAAAAAATATTAAAGCCAAAAAAATTCTGAGCATTCTAGAAGAAGTTATGGAGTCGAAAGCGTTTGACGCAAAATCAAAGCTCGTCAAATCAAAAATCTAATTCTCCCAAATTTTAGTGTGCCATCCAACTAAGAAAAAATATTAAAGCCAAAAAAATTCTGAGCATTCTAGAAGAAGTTATGGAGTCGAAAGCGTTTGACGCAAAATCAAAGCTCGTCAAATCAAAAATCTAATTCTCCCAAATTTTAGTGTGCCATCCAACTAAGAAAAAATATTAAAGCCAAAAAAATTCTGTTCAGTCTAGACAAAGTTATGGTGTCGACATTGTAACGTCGACAATGTAACGTCGACATTGTAACGTCGACATTGTAACGTCGACAGTGTAACGTGTAGCCAGCAACTCTACTCTACCCGTTTAGCACGAGGAATTCTGCACAACGGACGAGTTTATCGAGGCTTTCAACCGAATGGCGTTAGAAGAGTTTCCCGGGCAGCAAATAAGGTAAAAATCTGCAGAATAAACCAGCTTGAGCCAGGGCCAGGAGGCAGAAATGCAGTAATTTCTAGTAATCCTTTGATTCAGCACATCGATGTTCGAGCCACGTGCCTCAAGCCGTTCGCACACACTCACCAATTCCCATTCGGGCACAGCAAAGCGAAGCAGGAGTCGACGATCGGTAATTCATCGATTTCGATAATTCTCTAGATTCTCTAGATTCTCTAGATTCTAGATAATTCTCTAGATTCTCTTTTCAGCCATTTCTCACCGCCGAGGCTTTAATCCGATCGAAGCACGATAGAGAGGCGGCGCTAGGAGAAAGGTTACAATTTTTTTTTCTTTTCTTTAAAATCACTTTTTCTTGATAGTTTTAAGCGTAGATTCCGAAAAAACACAAGGAGAACTTTGGAAAACCGTTTTAAACCGTTTTAAACCGAGTCTCGGCGCTTCAAAGTCTCGCGGCTTCAAACTAGCCACTAGGCAACGGCTCATCTCTACCCGGCTGCCTTGTAAAGAAATCAGTTCTCAATCCCAAATTCGCATCCCAGATTTCTCGCGTTTCTGTGGCTATTAGCGGCTAACGTTTGCGCTTTTTTTATTCGCCATTGCCGATTCTATGCTATGCACCGTCTTTTCAGTTGATTCCGAACTTTGACGCTGAGATCATTCCATTGTAAATCAAAAACTAAAGCTAAATCAAAAGCTAACTCCAATATAGTATAGTGTGACTTCCAACTAAGAAAAAATATTAAAGCAGAAAAAATTCTGAGCACTCTAGAAAAAGTTATGGCGTCGACAACGTTCGACGATTCACACAGTGCCATACCCCGCCCAAAAACTACCGTAAGATACCGTAAGATAGTTTTAGGGAAAAGTGGCACCTTTAGGGAACAGATTGGACGAGGATTACGGTAGATTATCGTAGTTTTACGAAACTATTTTAGCCACGTTTCCTAACAAGCCTAAGCCAAGCCTAAGTCCAAGCCAAGCCAAGCCAAGCCAAGCCAAGCCAAGCCTAAGTCAAGCCAAGCCTAAGTCCAAGCCAAGCCAAGCCAAGCCAAGTCCAAGCCAAGCCAAGTCAAGCCAAGTCAAGCCTAAGTCAAGCCAAGCCAAGCCAAGCCTAAGCCAAGCCAAGCCAAGCCAAGCCAAGCCTAAGCCAAGCCAAGCCAAGCCTAAGCCAACCCAAAGCCTTTCAGCCACGTTGAGCGAATGTATCGTGGACCCCGAATGCCGTACACTTGCCATGCGACGACGAGCCAACATGACAGCGCCGTTTCCTCCTCATTTTCTAGGTTTGATAAAGTTTCCTACAGCACTAACGGATTTAAATCCATCAATTTCTTTACAAAACTCTATCTAAGCTTTTTCAGCGAAGCAAACAGAAGCATTCGCTTGACGACCATCCGAGAGGGACATTTACGCGAAAATCCGGCTACTTTCACGATTCCAGTGCGTATGCTAGGATTTTAAATGCTTGAAAAAGATCTAGGACACAAAAAAGCATATCCCAACACCAGAATTGATAGAAAAAGCCAGTCGGATTGATAGAAAATCCGGCTAAGCCAGGCTTGAGCTGTGAGTCAAGTTAAGCCAGTTAAGCCAGCTTAGCCTGGCCTGATCCGTGGCCTTCCTTGAACCTGATTGTGATCCGAGCTGGATCGTAAACCTACAGATACTCAGTCCAGCTAGCAATCTTAAATATGTAAAAGAAGAAAATCTGATTCTCACAAATTGTAGTGTGACTTCCAACTAAGAAAAAATATTGAAAGCAAAAAGAATTCTGAGTAGACAAAGTTATGGCGTCGACAGCGTCACAGTGTCAGTTTAGCACTGGATAGCCTGAGATCCATTAATATTAAGATAATCTATTGCTGTATGCAGATATGCTGTAGATATATCTGCTCTAGATCTAATCTGGATCTAATCTAGCTCTAATCTAGATCTCACTAGATCTAATCTAGCTCTAATCTAGCTCTAATCTAGACCTAATCTAGATCTAATCTAAATCCAATCGATATCTAAAATCCATTTAAAACCTTCAGCGAGTCGACCGAAGCCAACACTTCCGCGACGACAGCAATCAGTACGATCACGAGACAGAGGATGGAAGAAGGGTTGGGTTTTCGTTTTCGATGAAAAAATCATTTTTTTTTTCCAAATCCTCAAATCCCATTGTTCTTTAGCTCTTTCATGCAACAATTTGCGAGAAATTAAACCGCGAGATCCGACGGAGACGCAGAAATGAAGCGACGGAGAAACAAATTGACGAGCTGGAAAGAAGCAAGGAAAAGGTGGGGTTGGATAGGGTTAAAGACTAGATTTCTGGTCAGAGCCTAGGCTTAGTCTTGTCTGGATCTTTTAGAGCCTGGAGAGTGATCCTGGAGCGGTTGGAGAGTGATCCTAGAGAGCCTGGAGAGCCTGGAGAGCCTGGAGAGCCTAGGAGAGCCTGACCTTGTCTGGATCTTTTAGAGTACCCCGAATCCAGATACAGATCTAGATTTGCTCTAGATACAGATCTTCACCAGCGTCATTGTTCGGATCTAGACCTAAATCTAGTACAGTACAGTAATCCTAGAGAGCCTGGAGAGCCTAGAGAGCCTAGAGAGCCTGGAGAGCCTGGAGAGCCTGGTCTTATCTGGATCTTTTGGAGTACCAGATTAGATCGAGCTTAAGCCCGGTACTCACTGGGTGCTGCAATCCAAGCCATGTCTAGTTCCAATCATGACAGGCCACAGGTCCAGTCCAGAGGGCCTGTGGCCAGTCCAGAGGTCTTAGGCCCAGTCCAGAGCCAGAAGGATCTGAGTCTAGCCAGTGAGCCTACCAGTGAGCCTATCAGTGAGCCTATCAGTGAGCCTATCAGTGAGCCTATCAGTGAACTCTCTGGTTCAGCTTCCAGATCAGCTCTCTGGCTGAGTGCTTTGATTAGATGCTTTATTAGATGCTTTATTGGATGCTTGATTAGATGCTTGTTGAATCCTTGATTAGATGCTTTTATTGGATTAATCACCCTAACTAGACCATTGCAGGCTCGCGAAGTGATCTCATCAACGGAATGCGATGTGATGATGGATGGAGAGGATATGGAAGATGATGATTTGGAGAGATATGTTGAGGGGATGAGGGGGGAATCGGGAAGACAAAGCACCACGAATAGGACACCGAGGACCGGCAGAGAGCTCGGGATTGGAGGCGAGACGGGTGAGTGAAAGGGATTTCAACATCATCTACCAGCCGGGCTTTTTTGATTCCTACATATTTTAGTGTGCATTCCAACTAAGAAAAAGTATTAAAGCAGAAAAAATTCTGAGCATTCTAGAAGAAGTTATGACGTCGAAAGCGTTTGGCGCAAAATCAGATGTCATTAAAACAAAAATCTAATTCCCCTACAGCTTAGTGTGACTTCCAAATAAGAAAAAATATTAAAGCAGAAAAAGTTCTGAGCATTCTAGAAGAAGCTATGGCGCCGACAGAGTTATTCCCACTACTCTCTTCTATATAGTCAATTTTCTGCACTTTTAGGCCCAATGACGCCGCTTCGTGGCTTCTCACTGGGTCGATCGACGCTTGAGCGATCACTGATGGAGCGTCGCTTCCCACTCGGTGAGCCGATCGATCCAATCGATTTGGACAGCAGTTTCGCCGCGCCGACAACGTATCCTGGAAGATTCGCTCCCCCGCCAACAACCGGCTTCAATACTGGCTTTAATACGTTTGGGAAAGATCGGTGAGTTTGATAAGTTCAAGATCTAACAAATCAAATCAAATCAAAAAAGCAAGCAAAATTGCAAGGCAAGGATTCGAACCGAAGCAAGAACTGGGTGGCTCGCTTTGTACACAAGGCCCTTAGCCACTAGGCCACTAGGTCATCTTGACCGGGTGCGAGAAAAGCGTTTTAAGGGAGATGTTGTGAATTTCTCTGTTAAATTCTGGAGCTACTTTTAAGGGATTTTGATCAGCTTCGTCTTTTCTATAGCTCAGGTCTAGCAATCAGCAATCAGCAATCAGCAATAAGCAATCAGCAATCAGCAGCGACAAGCTGGAGTCTTTCCCTTGTTAGTACTGAATCCTTGACCGTCTCTAGCACAAACCTATCCTTGACCTTATCCTTGCCCTAAACCCTGCCCTAAACCTTGCCTAAATCCAGTCCTCATCGTCTAATCCATTCAATTTTCAGTTCGTATTCGATACGCACCGAGCCGGTGTACAATCCAGAGTCCGGGATTGGAAGTATGTTCTCACAAATCGATGACAAGAGGAGAACTCGTGGAGGGGAAAAGGAAAGAGAGAGGCGAAGTCGGCCACCCATCACAATCACTTATAAAGTCTGTTTGTCCGCGTGGTAGCTTTCTAAACAATGCCGTACTTTCAGGCAGCCGACGGAGTCCCAATCGTGGCTCACGTTCCCCTTTTGGGACACTCACTGACACTGCGCGAGTTTCGGAAGCACTTCTCCATCTCAAGCCAACTTGGATATCAGTGAGTCTGAGCCTGAGTCTAAGTCTAAGTCTAAGTCTAAGTCTAAGTCTAAGTCTAAGTCTAAGTCTAAGTCTAAGTCTAAGTCTAAGTCTAAGTCTAAGTCTAAGTCTAAGCCTAAGCTTCAAACCTTGGAAACACACGCCTTGTTTCCAGATTTTTCTTCAAATCCGAATGCGAAGACGGGTCGGCTCCGTATCAATTGCTGCGGATTTGCGACGACGCGGCTTTACTACCGATTTTCGACGGGAAAATCAGCGCCGAAATCAAGCAAACCTCACCAGAATAGATGACTAAACAGCAATTGCATTACCGTAATCCTGCAGTAGTTTCTTTACCGTAAACCTTGCTCATTAGGTTACGGTAGCCTGATTCCAAAATGCACCAGTTCTACCGTAACCAAGGATTGCAGTATTCAAGCTAAACAGGCTTTCAATGCGGAAGAAAATCAAGGGTTGCGGTGATTTTGTTTCCATTGTTGACTTTTTTTGTCAGCATTTTTGCCTTTTTCTTTGCCTCACCGTTTTTTCTTTGCTTGCTCCGATTCTACCTCGGGTTTTGTCGGTGATTGTGGATTTTGAGGCAAGCAAACTTGCATCTGAAATTTGTCTATTGGACCATTTACCGCCTTAAAATCCACAAGTGCCCCGAATTTTCACTGTCTACACATAGGAAAATATTAGTTTTTTTAGATTTTACCACTTTTTTTTGTTTAAAAACGAGAGAAACCGGTTCGTTTTTCAGAAAATAAACATTTTCTTACAAATTTTAACGAAAACAAAACCCAAAAATGACAAAGTATCGCAAAGGTTTTAACAGCACAAGAAGAAGGAGAAAAAAAACAAATTGTAACGACAAAATATACATATTTACATTGGAAAACTGGGAATTTACTTGCTTTCCCGAAAGATTGGAACCGGTATCTAGAAAATTCGCGTTTTATTGGGGTTAAAGTTGAGTTTTCAATGTTTTTCATAAAAGTTGCGAATATTTCGCGTAAACAGTGATTTAAACTGTACTAAAAGATCCAATTTAACTTGAAACGGCTAAATTTAAGATGACGGTCCAGAGCCAAATTGTGTTTTGTTTTGTTATTTTGTGTTTCCCCGCATGAAAAGCATACTAAAAACGCAAAATTAGGCGGAGAAACATTTGTAGAGGCAGAAGAGCAATTTTGGCCGTTATTTTTACCTTGAACATTCCCGGCGCTAAATATAACGTTCCAGGTGCAAATGGGGTTAATCTGTAAAACTGTGATTTGAAATTTTACACTGAGGGATTTTTGATAATTATTGATTTAATCGATTGCTGATATCACACATGGCCCCGTTTTTTACTTTTTATTTTTTTTTTGATGCTTTTTCCCTCAGTTTTGTAACTCATCCCCGCCCCCGCAACTGCCTTTACAAGTGGACCCTTATTTTCATTCTATAAAGTAAAGGTAACGGTCTAAAACAAATTTTTGATTTTCTGCCTCTACTGATTTTCTGTTTAATCCGCCTAATTTTGCCTTTTTTAGTATATTTTACATGCGGGGAAACACAAATTAAACGTTTCTGATTATTTTGGCTCTGGACTATTTATCTTAAATTTAATCCATGAAACCATGCCCTAGTTAGAAATTTAAGGTATAAACAAAAAAAAAATACCTGACAATGTGGCGGCAATGGCAATTTGTCGAGAACATCCTGTGGCGCGTGTTTCCGAAGGAACTCGTTCTCAGCCTCGAGTAACTTGGTCTAAAAATGACAACTTTGAACATTAGTATGCCAGAAATTGCTTTTGTGGCTTTAAATTGAGCCCGAATAGCTTCATCGATCAAAGTGACAGAAAAGGTTATGTTTACCGATATTTAAAACAAATTTAAAACAAATTTGAAGCCAACAAAAACTTACTTAAAAGTTCGTTATTGTTATCAAAAAAAAAAACCAACCTTATCCTTTAGCTCAGCAATTTTTTGCTTGAATCGTTCAACTTCCTCGTTGACCGCAAACGTCAGATGTGTCTTGACAAGGTCGAGTACCTAAAATGAACAGTAGCGATTGATTTGCTGGTCGAAATCGACTAAAAGCCTTATCAATTGGAAAATGAAACACTTTCACCAGATTTACCTGCTTTAGAAATTTTACAGAAAAAATCGCCCCAAAAATCCTAAACTTGCGCAATCTAGTAACAGTTTTAAGGCTGTTTTTAAAAGTTCACATAAACTAGCCAGCCTGAAATCTCCAAAACAAACCTGGTTTATCTTGATATCAATAGTTCCGTCATTCGTTGGATCGGATGAGTCGGGCGCCGACTCGTCGACCATATGTGAGTCAACCGATGCGCGATTTGAAGCCGGAGAGATGGAGCTAAATAAACAAATGAACTAAATCATGAATTAAATGTAATACAACATAAATTTCAAGTGTACAAATTGAAATTTAACTATTTAACTACTATTAACTATGAAAACACAACTTAAACAGCCATGATCCAAGTCAAATCCATAAAATAATGAGCTAAGTGAGTAGAATCGTCATCAAAATATGGGCTATCAAGATTTTCAGCTTTTTAAACGGTCTGCTAATGTCACGGTGCTCAAATAACCCAACCAAACTTCCTAGTTTAATTTGAAATTTACCCATTTAGTTTCCCAGTTAAAATGTCACGATAATTCTCTATTAACCTCTATTAATTAACTTCAAAAACCTCACTTTGTTCCACCGATCTCAATCTTTGAATCCTCGTCGAGTGCGATGCGAGATCTTGACTAAAAGAAATTTGATTACTGGATCTTTAGTGAACAACTAGGTAAATATTATCTCAAACTTACTGGTGGAGTCGGTGGATGCGGGATCACCGAGGTGACGACAAGCGTTGTCGACTCTTCCACGTCGATGATTTCTTCTAAATATACTTTTAACACCTTTTCAACTTTAAAATGTTTTAAGTTTATAGAACTTTAAGCTAGTTGTAAAAGTTGTAAAAGTAGCAGTAAACTTTACTAAAGCGTACCCTTTACCAGTTTGAAGACATGTTAAAACTAACAATTACTCGTTTGATGACCAAAATTAACTTGTCAAAGCCGCCCTGAGTTTGGCTATCAATCTGTTTAACTTTTAAAATTACTGTTACTGTTTTATAGTCGGTACTGATGCTATTTATCCCCAACATACTGGGTGTTCCAAAAGTTCTTATACTTTGAAAAATCCCCAACATATTGGGTGCCCGAAAAGTTCTTATACTTTGAAAAAATTAAACGCAAATCAGCTTTCAAAATGCAAACTAGGCTTTCAATACAGAGAAAAAGTTGCAAATTGTTCGGGATAAATAGCCAAACTACTCGTTAATCTAACCAAAATCATGGCTCACGTATTTCACTGCATCTGCTCGACGCTTTGCTCTCGTCGCTCATCAGCAGCGCCACCGAGTCGGCGATCTCGAGCGGGATCTCTTGATCGGCAAAATCCGTGCACTGCCACCGTCCCCGTCGATACGCGCCCGACAGCGGGACAACCTAAAAGGGAAATTCGAACAAAATAGCAATGAAAAGGCTTACAGAAGTGAAAAAAGTATTGGGCCTTTCAGATTTTTTACTTTTTGCTTCAAAAAAATTTCTATCGAAAGCTTTTTGAATCCATTCTAAATTTCTAGAAATTAGAAGAACTAAGCTTCGTAATGCTATAAAAACTCTTGAATTGCAAGGTTTATTTAACGAGAAAAAATATATTTACAGAGTATTTGCAAAAACCGGCGGAAAAGTATTGGACCTCTGTAGAGAAAAGAATCGTTGACCCATCTCGGACTTTAATAATCGCCTCCATTCGTCTCGGCATGCTTGCAACTATGCTTGTAACCACTTTCTCGAGCGTCGGCACTGGGATCGACTTCCAAATTTCTTGTACTTTATACCAAAGTTCATCTTCTGAGGTAAATCGATATCCTCGTTTTATATGGGCCCACAAATGCTCAATAGTGCAATCAGGAGAATATGGCGGTGTCTACAGAAGAAAAACATCAAAATGTAAAACGATAAGGAAAGACACCCAAAACGGTACCCGGACTAAAACAGTACGGTTCACTTTCCAGTTCATCATTGATTCACTTTGGAAGATTTGGGTCGCTATTCTATTGGAATAGTCGTCCAGGCCCTATATTTGTATAAATATAGGACCTTTAATATTATAGCATATCTAGACACTTAATCCTTTAATATTATAGCATATCTAGACCTATCCCTGAATATTTCGATCCGAGCGAGAGGCCTGAATGGATTCGTGGTAGAGGCTTTTAACGCAACACTTTATCTACTGAACGTTGACCGTCGGGCAAATGTTGGCGCTGACCGTTATGTACATGTTTTTCTCGTTAAATAAACTTTTCAATTCAAAAGTTTCCCTAACACTACGAAGCTTAGTTCGGTACTTATGCATCTGGCGGGCGTTTATTTAACGGAACAACAGGAACACATTAAGCACGGTTATTTGAAGTTTTTTTTGTTATTAATATGCATTTATATTAAACAAAAAAATAACATTGAAGCAATACAATACAATATATTGGGTTGATGCATAATTATCCGGACTTCTTTTTGCGTGCTTGTATCTTTTTTGTTTTGAAAGCTTTTTGTCTATTTCTTTTTTTTAAATATTCGTTATTCTTTAGTGAACAAAATGCGTGTCGACAATCATATCCATCTTCGCCATATCATGCTCTACCACTTCGAAAAGGGATGGTCTGCCGCAGAGTCGTTTCGCGATCTCAAAGAACTGGAGAAGCCCCAACGGACTACCACGTCAATCGATCGCTCAAAAATTGGCAAACAAATAAGATCTACAACGATTTGGATGACTTGATAGACGATGTTAAAGCGTGGATTGCCTCCAAAGATCGTTTATTCTTCGCTCGTGGAATCGATCGTCTTCCAAGCAAATGGCAATCAGTTATTGATGTAGGCGGTGAATATGCTCCAGAATAATCAATTAAACATATTTTTCTAACTATTTATGTTATTTTTTGTTAAATAAAATCATTTATAAAAGAAGTCCGGATAATTATGCATCAACCCAATACAATATAGCAATTTACAAAAGTATCAAATCAACAAGAATGGGTGCTAGGGATGGACGCAATTATTTTATACAAAAGTATATTGCTACCGTATTTTCTCTAATAGTACTGCACCCTGAGCGTCGCGTAAATTGCTCGAAATCTCGAGAACCGCTTATCAGAACCTATCGATGTGGGGTCGGAAAATGTCGCTGACGATGAGATCTAGTGGGGGATTTGAGTGTTGAGCTCCTGCAAAAGCTTGGAAACCCTAAAATAGTCACCAACTCGGCTCACCGGGGTGCACTACTATTAGAGAGAATACGGTATGTGTCAAATATTATTAGATTTTATCGAACTACGTAGAAAGTTAGCTTTATGATGTCAAACTTTCAACTCGATCGGCCAACTCGATCAGCCGTTTTTTCCAAAATAGCATAACAGACAGGCACACACAGACATACGCTTTCTCGCTTATAATAAGTAAAGATTTATCGGTACTTTTCCAATATCGGGGGAGCGGAAAGATTATCGGGGGAGCGAAAGGAAAATCGGGGGAGCAAATTTTGCCCCCTCGAAAAATGCATTTCCGGGGGACTGTATTAAAATACTCCAACGTTCTTTTTAAAACTTTAACGACGATGCGCTTCTCCGATATTTGTGCGTCAAGAAATCGACGGCAATCGATTATTTCGTCACCAAAGGAGTCATCCAGTCGTGGATTTGCAAATGTGGCGAATCGATGAAAGTCCGCTCAAAGGGAAAAGATCTATTTCGCTGGGTGTGTGACACTTGCGCACGGCGAAAGGTCCCCAAGCATTCAAGAGGAATTCGAGTCGATAACTTTTGCAACAAAGCAAGCTCCCGTTCGTCACAATTTTAAATAGGACATATGTAGCGCTGCCAAAATTTGCTCCCCCGATATTGGAAAAGAACCGATTTATCTTATTCTCTTGAAACACAAATAACAGTAAAAGCGTTTCTCTTTCGCAAGACCCAGACACGGCAAAACACGCAAATTTTCCCGTCTTTCCAAAATGAGATTTTCCCTAGATTTTTGTTTTGACTTTTCATTACGATCAAATTACCGTATTCTCTTTAATAGTACTGCACGCTGAGCGTCGCCTAAATTGCTCGAAATCTCGAGAACCGCTTATCAGAACCTATCGATGTGGGGTCGGAAAATGTCGCTGACGATGAGATCTAGTGGGGGATTTGAGTGTTGAGCTCCTGCAAAAGCTTGGAAACCCTAAAATAGTCACCAACTCGTCTCACCGGGGTGCACTACTATTAGAGAAAATACGGCATATTGTATTCTATTGCTTCAATGATATTTTTGGAAAGTGTTCGACAAATTTTCTTGTAAATGTTCGACCGTTCGACACAAACTATTGAAAGTGCTCGACCGTCCGAACTATTCGGAAATGCGTCCGCCATATGCCTAAGTACCATTAGTTCTTCTAGTTTTTAGAAATTTAGAATGGATTCAAAAAGTTTTCGATAGAGCAAGAAGTAAAAAGTCTGGCGGGCCCAATACTTTTTATTTTCACTACTGTAAAATCCTTCTCAATTAAGCTGGCTTTATTAATTTTAGCTCAAATTTCGTAAATTTTACCTTGAATTTTCGCTCGCGTCCATCCTTGGCACCCATTCTTGTCGATTTTGACGTCTAAACTTAAAAAATTACATGAATTGACGAGAAAATTTGAAAGAAAACGAAGAAAACAAGCAAATAATAAAAAAAGGAAGTTTTTTTTTTATTTGATTTGAGGGAAAATTTCTTTCAATATGCTGTAAAACGGTTAAGGAAGACGTTAAAAAAAAAGTTCTTTATACAGAATTTGAAAAAAATGGAGAAAAATGACGAAAAAGTGGAAAAAAAACAAAATCCTCGGGGAGTAGGACAAATGCGACCTTTTTTTTGCGCACCCGGACATTTGCGCACCTTTTTTCCGCACCTTGCCCATTAGCGCACCTTTTTTCGCGTTTTAAGCTCTAAAAGCAAAGCTCTAAAAGCTAATATTAACCAATTTCCATTCCAAAAGTTGTTTTTCTAGGTAATTTTAGGGCATAGAATCGAAATTTTGACATATCAGAGCTTGTGGAAACAAACGGACGGAGTTATACAAAGAGAAAAATCAACAATTTTCTGTAATTTGATCTAGCCGTTTTGTCTTTCAAATTGGTTCCACACGCTCTGTTATGTCAAAATTTGAATTCTACACCCTCAAATTACCTAGAAAAACAACATTTGGAATAGAAATTGGTTAATATTAGCTTTTTAGAGCTTTTTTAAAACGCGAAAAAAGGTGCGCTAATGGGCCAGGTGCGGAAAAAAAGGTGCGCAAATGTCCGGGTGCGCAAAAAAAAGGTCGCATTTGTCCCACTCCAAAATCCTCGACAAAAAACAAAATCTTCTTGTACTTTCTTTAACAGAAGTTGATATTCAACTATTGAATTGAATATGTTTTAAAGAAAAGGCAGGCAAGGGAAAATCGAAAAATTTATCGAAGACAAATCGATCTTCAGCTAATTAATTAAATATCTTTTCGAAAGGAAATTTTGCGTAAAATTGGAATTTTCTTTTTCGTTAACTTTTATCAAATTTAGCTCTTTTTTATGTTTTTTTACATTGTTTTTCATATTTTCTTTGCTAAATTTTCCTTTTTCAGATCAATCGACGATGTCTGACGACCAGGAATTGCCCGTCGCACGCCAGGAAGTCGAAGATGCAATCAGTGAAGTGATTGACGAGAAAGGAATCGATTCGCTCTCTCCCGCCAGCATTCGCGCGTTTCTCACCGAGCGATTCGGTCAGGATTTCACAGCGCACAAGAAAACGATTGATGAGATGACGATAAAGAAAATCGAAAAGATTCAGAAGAAACAAGAGTCGGACGCGGAAAAAGAGAAGAAAGTCAAGGAGAAGAAGGAAAAACGGAAGAAGGATGAACCGGTTGAAGAAAAGACAAAGGAGAAACGAAAAAAAGCTTCGAAAGCCAAAGAAGAATCTCTTGATGAGCCAATTGCTGAAGTCATGGAAAAAGTCAAGAAGGAAAAGCACAAGAAAGCTTCGAAAGTTGTGGAAGAGTCTGATGAATTGGTTGAAGAGGTCAAGGAGAAGCACAAAAAAGCATCAAAGGTTAAAGATGAGACAACTGATAGCCCAATCGATGAATCGGTGGCAGTTCTGATGAAACAGGATCCAATTGATGAACCAATGGAAGAAATGAAACTGGAATTGCCTTCAACGGTAAGGGAAGAACTGGATGAGGTTGAGAAAGAATTGGCTCAAGGGAAAGCTTCAAAGACCAAGGAAGAATTGGCGGATTTAGCAGATGAGCTGATTGAAAAAACTCCAATTGTTCGAAAATCTGGAGATGAAGTCAGCTCTAGCTCCAGCGATTCGACGAGCTCTTCAGGGGCTTCAACGAGCTCATCCGATTCTTCTGACTCCGAAACGGTTGATCAACCAAGTCAAGTAAAGGCAGAACGGGGCTCCAGCTCTGATTCGATCACTGATCGCACACCACGAAAGTCCAAACGATCTGGAGACAAAAAGAAAGCGAGAGCTGCCGGCACATCCAGCTTCAGCAAGATCATGGCCGTTTCGGATTCTGTCAAAGAGGTCACTGGTCAGCAATACATGAGACGATGCGACGTAGTGAAAAGCGTCTGGACTTACATCAAAGAGAATAACCTCCGCGACCCGAAGGATAAGAACTACGCAATCTGTGACGCGAAATTGAGGAAAATCTTCGAAATGGACAGTTTTAAACCGTTTTCAATGATGAAACATTTGCAAAAACACATTTTCAAGCCCGAAGATCTGGGAGAAGAGCATGTGAGGAACGCGGCGCAAGCGAAGAAACAACTCTTGGCGCAATTGGGTGAAGAGGATGTGCCAAAACTTCGGCCTTCGCCAAAACGTCGATCTTCGCCAAAACGAACGTCCAGCGGCAAAACGACCGATGAGCCGAAGAAAAAACGCGCAAAACCTTTCCAGAAAGTCTTGGTTTGCTCTGATGCCTTGGCGGAAGTCACTGGGAAACAGTTCATGACTAGATCTGACGCAGTGAAAGCTTTATGGGACTACATCAGAACGAATAACCTTCAAGATCCGAAGAACAAGCAATTCGTGAAGTCGGACGCGAACTTTGAGAAAATCTTTCGCTCAAAGCGATTCAAAGCTTTCGGCATGATGAGCAAACTCGGCAAAAACTTGCTACCACCCGAAGAATACGGGCCGGAGTGGGTGAAAATGGCTGAGGAGGCGAGGAAAGAGCAAGAAGAAGAACAAGAGATGAGCAAGAATGAGCAAGAAGATGAGCAAGAAAAACAAGAGAATGAAGATTTGGATCGAGAAGGAGAAGTTGGACCGAGTAAATCGAATGAAACAGAGGATGCAGATGAATTACCCGACAAATTATCACAATCGGATTCTGATTGATAGCTTTGGTATTTTTGTTTTGTTTGCTTTGTTTTTGTTGTTTTATGTTGTTGAATCTTGTTTTTGTTTTTAACTCGGATTAAAATAGATTTTTTTCAGAAAGCCGATCAGATTCAATGTTTAGCGCGTCTCTGAGTCTCGACCCTGGTCATCGGGCCCCGATTGTGGGTTTTTTTAGGTTTATCTACAACTAAATTTGCTAAATTGGTTAAAATTGTCTAACCTTGTCAGATACAGATAAAACTGTCAAAGTTTTAAGCTCCAGACTGCTGATGGCTGACTGGCTGACTTAAAAATGCAGTTTTTACTATTTTCTAGATGTTAATCGAATTGTATTCAGGAAACTTATGATAATTATGTCTATTTTAGTACGATGCTCGTCTAAACATCTTCGGCAATCGGCTAGCGACGTGTTCGGGCGATCAACTCGTGAAAATCTTTGAGGTGAGTCCAAGAAAAGCAAAGTTTCTGTGAGAATTCCAAGCTTTCTTCAAGCTTTGTATTTTGATTAAATCATCTTGCTTTAGGTCCGAGAGAACAGCCTTTTGCAACTGGCCGAGCTGGGCGGTCACCAGGGTCCCGTTTGGCAAGTCGACTGGGCGCATCCGCGTTTTGGAACACTGTGCGCATCGGCGGGATATGATAGGTGAGGTGAAAGTTTGTTGGTTTAAAATTGGTTTCTTTTCGATTCTTTATCGATCATTCTGACACTTGGCAGTAAAAACGAAGCAACTACGCTTTTAAGATTCGAAATACATGTAATGCTCTAGTATTTGAAGTCAATTACGGCAGAACAGAACAGAATTTGCTCTAAATTCTCTCCAGTGTTTTAGATTTATCCACTTTGCCTCAAAACGTAGTCTTTCTGGAGTATATAACGAGTAATTTGAGTTCTCGTTGAAAAAACGATTGACATTGTTAACTGTAAGAGTCGAGAACATGAATCTATTGTGTAAATTAGACTCTAGTATATAGTACAGACACACCATTAAAATGTATTTTAACAATTTTGCATTATATAAACAGATTTCTTTTAGCCGTGTCATCTTTTGGCAAGAGAAGGAAACCGGCTGGGAGAAGCTCTACGAATATTCGGAACACTCAGGATCGGTCAATAGTTTGGTTCTTTTAAAAACTTCGTTTATCATTGCTTTTGTTTAGCTTTATCATTTGCATCGGAACGTTTTGGATTGAAATTGGCGTGTGGATCGAATGATGGCAGTATTGTAAGTGATGTTTTTCGAAAATCCATCAAAATTCACAAATTCAGAGCATTCACTCATACGATCACGTGAACGGACGATGGGAGGCCGTCAAAATAGAGAACGCTCATTCACAGGTGTTTTTTTTTTTTTTGATGGTTCAGATACTCAGTAAAACTGCACTTCCCGCAGTTCGCAGTTACGGGTTGGCAACTTTCCAACCCTAAATTCTAAAATACACCTAAGCTACCGTACTCGAGACGAAAGTCGGACGGAAAACGGACGAGATCGTCTCTTTTTCCACCATCCCTTTATCAATCATTCTTTTAAAAAAACCGTTGTCCGGTCCAGCGCTTCGCCGTGTCTTTTCTGTGTCTTCGCCGTCGCGCGTATGTGTTCCCCTTTCACTATCCCGTTATAAAATTCTGTTTATGGTTAAAACTTCCCTCCTCCTCTTATTGTTCCGACCCCTGTTTCTTTTAAAATTTGTTAAAGTTTGAGTGTTTTTGTACTTTTCTCGGTTCTTTCCACTTTGTTGGTCTTCGGACCCGTGTCTTTCTTTCATACCACCGTTAAAGTTATCAAAAATCTAAAGATCTTTTCTCTAGAAATGCCAGTCAATCCAACCCAGCCGCGAATTGTCTTGCTATTCCTGTCGTTTTGGTGAATCATTTAGAATTGGTGTTTCTGGGTTAAAAGATTTAGCAGTTTGGGTAAGATTTCGACCCAGAATTTGGATGTGTTTGGATTCATAACACGTTAATACTCAACTCTGAAAATAGAAACTTATCCAATTGTTCAGATAAAAATTGGATCATTCACTCAATTTTCTTATCAAAATTGGGCAATTTGTCCAATTTATGGTTCAAAGCACCTCCAAATTTGGTTCATTTACCCAATCTTCCAAGCAAATTTGGCTCAGTTACCCAATTTATGGTTCAAAGGAAATAAAGACTCTCTTATGAATTGTTATTTCCGATACTAGAAATCTGACAGATGATAACTAGGACTATTTTCCGAAAAGACGTTGGTACTAATAAAGTTGGGGAGGGGGGCACTTTTTTTTTTCTTTAAAACCACGTTTTCTGGGATATTTTTATGCCTAGATTCCGAAAAACACAACGAGAGCTTAGGAAAATGTGTTTTAAGCCAAATTTCTGGGCTTCAAAGTGCGCGCTTATACGGTGTGATGAGAGGGATACACATAAGGAAGGGGTCTAAAAAATGGTCTCTCAAAGCATTTTTTGAAACCAAAAACACTTTTTGGCATAATTTAACCTATTAACTACAGTGCGTTTCAAATTCTTAAACGCACCCTCTAAAATAGCGGATTTTGCATTTTGACCACCGCTACAACTATTAATCTTTTTCTATTAGAAAGAGCATGTCTTAAAACCTAAATAACACGAAAAAGAAGCATACTGTAAAAAGTAAAAATTTTCAAAATAGAAACTTTTTGCTAAATCGACCGTTTCAAATTCTTAAACGCACTATGAAAATATTTTTATTTATCGACACAAATTAAAAATCAAAGGTTAAAAATCAAAATCAAACTAATAATCTGTACACGCACCAGAACGATTAATTACTTGAAAAATGCGGTCTGGCATTGAATTGATGAGGTTTTGAAGAGCAGAGACGTCGAGATCGCTCCAGGCCGAAAAAAGTGCTGCTTTAAGTGTAGAAACGTCTTGAAACTGACGATGATTCTTGTAGATATCTCGGACAAGTATTTCCCATAAATTTTCTATCGGATTGAGGTCAGGAGACTGAGCGGGCCAGTCCAAAGTTGCAATGTTGTTGCTGTTCAGCCAGTCTCGGGTGTCTCCGGCTCGATGAATTGATGTGTTGTCGTATTGAAACAAGTCCGGAACGGTTGGATTTAGGAGCAAAAACGGCAACAAGCAATTGTTCAAGATATCTATCTAGTCATCCGATTCGAAACCATCTTCAGAGCGACCGTTCCATCAGCACAAAAGGCGGCCCAAACCATCACAAAACCACCGTCAAAGTTTTGAGTTCCAAACACCATCGGATCACGTCGAAGATCCTTCCAATAGTAGTCGACGCCATTGGGACCATCCCAATTTCATTTCTTCTCATCGGAAAAGATCACCTAAACGCTAAAAAAATAATAAAACATAAGCGGCTTTCCAACCATAGACCAATTCTGATTCATATGAGTCTTGGCGAAGGCCAATCGGGCTTTCTTGTGCAAAAGCTTCACGATCGGTTGGATGTTCAATAATTGTCGATCGATATGTGCGTTTTTCCTTGATGGCTCGCCAAATTGTCGACTTCGAAGAGTCGATTTTCCGTTGCGTTTTCACTTCATTGATCGTTTTTCCGTGGATTTTGTTCACAATATGGCGTCTAGCTCGCGGCGTAAGCTTGGTTTCGGTCCTGGCTTCTTCTTTGGTGCAGAAACGAACTCGAACTTTCTATAATTTCGCACGGCAGAGTCGGATCGGCCAAAATTTTTTGCGATTTTCCTTATTCAGTCGCCAATCCTCAAACGGGCATCAATCTGCCCTTTATCATAATCCGTGAGCAGCTTTCCGTGTGCCATTTACCTGGAAATTAACAAAAATTATAAATTTAATAAAAAGATATGCACAACAAAACGAAAAATTTCAAATAACAACAGCAAAGGCAGGTGCCTTTAAGAATTTGAAACGGTCGATTTAGCAAAAAGTTTCTATTTTGAAAATTTTTCTTTTTACAGTATGCTTCTTTTTCGTGTTATTTAGGTTTTAAGACATGCTCTTTCTAATAGAAAAAGACTAATAGTTGTAGCGGTGGTCAAAATGCAAAATCCGCTATTTTAGAGGGTGCGTTTAAGAATTTGAAACGCACTGTATGTTTCTGAACAAATTGAAGCAAAATAAAAAAATCTTTTTTCCAAATTTCGACCACATTCGACCACCATGACCACATGAGTCAAAATTCCAAAAAATATTTTTCCAATTTATTTTGCCTCTACCAAATAATTTAAGTTGGAAAATGAATATTTAGTGGTTAAAAATGGTTTTGGCTCTAGGTTTGACCTTGAAAAGGGCTTCAATAGTCGATATCTTCGGCTCCATAGAAGTACACTATAGAAGCGCGCACTTTGGAGGCCTGAAACTTCGATTAAAACACATTTTTCCAAGCTCCTTGTTTTTTGGAACCTTTCGACCATGTGGTCCCCCCCCCCCCAACTTTGTTAGTACCCAGCCGTTTACTTCACTGTAATGCTTTGTTTTCATTATTCTTTTCGAGTCAAAATTTCTATGCACAATAATAATGTTTCTTATTTTCAGATGGCTTCTGGAAATCGTGCTGATATTGGACCATTCGTCAACGTCAACTTTCTCTTTCCTCAACTTGATCATGCCATGATGGCACCAATTGCTGGAGAATTTTACGATTTTGCCATTCAAGCAATGTTTCCTTGTGTCAAGGCTCCTGCAAACGTCATCACTCGTGAAAATTGGATCACCTATGTCGAATGGGTTACCAAGATGAGGATTGATTTCGTCAACTCCCACTGCGGAATTTCTCGTGTTGCTTCTGTTACTCTTCCACGCTGCCTTGCTGAATTCATCAATGCAATCGGAAAAGTTTCAGTCGCTCAGCAGTCGATCGTTGTCACTCCATCGCCAGTTGCTCCTCCAGCTGTTCAGGCCAATCACATCGACATTCTGTGTACTCCAGCCATTCGAACCTCAGCTCAAGCATTCGCTATCTTGGCCAGAGAACGTATTGAATGCACTCTTTCTCCAATGTCAAATGTCGTCGAAGGAACTTGCTACTGGTTCCTCAAGCTGGTCGACCCTACAAATGCAGTGCTCGTGCATACAAATCGCAATCCATACGGCGCGCGTGCAAGCTCGTCATTCTGTGAGTTCACTAGCCGTGACGTCATGTATGCTGCTATGGTTCAACTCAATGTTGCTAACGATGTACTCGTTGATATTGAATGTTTTACTTCTGCTGATGTTAAGAGTATTCATAGTCATCGTCTTCAGTTCTTCGTTACTTAACATTTCATGTTATGCTTTTCTAATGCCTTGATCTCTTCGCACGGTTACGGTTCACTTTATCTTTGATAATTACGTTGTTTTCAATGCATGCTTTATGTTTATTTATGAAATAAAGAAAATCAGTTTTACCAGAAATTTTACCAGAAATTGGTTCTCTGAATCCCCAAAAAAAAAGCCACCATAGTCGACTGGCTAACAGCCCTGTATCTTAGTCGGGAGGACAAGAGTTCAATCTTGCCGGCTAGATTATTGGTTCTTTTTTCCCAGATATATGGGTTTTTTCTTTCCTATATTTAAGGCTTAGGGGTTGTGCTTTTGTATTGTTTGTACCACGTTATTCGTGTGAATGGATTTTTTTTTTTTAAAAAGCACCCAAAATTGAATCATTTACTCAATTTTCTCAACGAAAATTGGACCATTCACCCAATTCTTTGATAAAAATGGAAGTTTGATCATTTATCCAATTCACTAATCAAAATTTACCCAATCTTCAAAGTAAATTTGGATTAGGTGCCCAATTTACGGTTCAAAACACTTGAAAATGAATCATTTACCCAAAATTTGTTCAATTTCAGGGCATTACGTCGATTTCTTGGGCGCCAGCGGTTCCCATTGATGAAGAGCAGAAAATTTTCGAACCCCGTTTCATCACGTGTGGAAACGATACGTTTTTGAAGATCTGGGCGTGGGTTTTTCAATCTTTCTTACGTTTTTTTGTAGTTTTAAAAGTTTTGGGAGATTTAAGGTCTAAAAAGTCCAATGAGATTACGTTTCAACTGAAGATTTCCATTAAGTAAGCAACTCTTTTCTTTTCTTTTTTTTCAGATTTCGCGAGAACAGCTGGGAACTGGAGAAAGTGCTCGTCGCGCACACCGATTTCGTTCGCGATGTCGCCTGGTGTCCGATTGTGTACGACGGTTTGCACAAGATACTCAGCGTTGGTCAGGTGTGTGAGAGTTTTGTTTGAAAAGCTAGATTACGACTTTTGTTTCCTTCAAAACAACGCTCTGAAATCATTTATTGAAATTTCAAGCTTTTTTTTTTTAGGATCGACAGGTTCTCCTATGGCGCTCGAAAGCCATCGGCAAAGAGGAATGGGGATTTGAGCAGATAACGAAGGTGATAATAGAATAAAATAACTTTGAAAATTGTACTATTCAGACAGAAGGCGCCATCTGGCACGCGTGTTGGAGTCCTTGTGCCACGCTTTTCACCATATCCGGCGAGGATAATAAGGTTAAATTTTTGTGGCTTTTGATTTAAAAATTGTCAAAAAGCTAGTTTTGACATTTTAAAGCGACTTTAATGGTCAATGTACAGCTATATTATATTTTCGAGAGTGTTTTTGCTCTGGGAAATAGAATATAGCTTTAAATTGATCAGCAAAGTGACCTTAAAATATAAAAGTTGTTTGTGGGAAATAGATTTTCTTTGACACACTATGTATCTTTGGGTCAATCCCTTGTCTCTCCCTGTGTTCATTCCTCGTTTTAAGCAGCGATTAAAACTTTGAAGTAAAAATTTTGATGATCGATAAGGCCAGAATCGGCTCTGTTTAAAACCTTACTTGGCCATGGCTCCAGAAAGATTCATAATGATAATAGAAAAGGTCTAGAATCTAGTTTCAACGCAACCTTACGTACAGTTTCTCTTTTAGAACACATTCTTCCGCGAGTACGGAAACAATTGGGTGGAGATCAAAGAGGAGAATGAGGGAAACGGTGAAGCGGAAACGAATGCATAAAAAGAGGACCAGTTGTACGTAGTTAAAGTTTTCCTTGTGTTTTTTTTTTTCTAAGAATTTCTAAGAATTGCTCGGGTCGGTTAATTTTAAAAATTAAGCCATTTAGAGAGATTTTTCGTTCATTTCGTCGTGATTTCTGTGAAGATTTGTGTGTGTAAAAATTGGAAATGTTTACTACCCGTGTGTTTTTCGAAAAATTGAGCGAATCGGAGGCAAGAAGTTAATATTTAGGCTCTTCATAGGCGTTGTACGCTGGCGGAGCGCTGGAGATCGGCGGTTGAGCCATTAGGGGAGCTGAAAAGAAGCTGGGTTTAGGCAAAAGTCATGGGTTTTTGATACGGCTTAGACTGATCCTCGTGATTAAAGTACTGTATTAGGAAAGCTACCGTAGCCCGCCCGCCAGTTTCCATCCGATTCACCGGGTTTTTGAATTTTCCACGGATCCTTGTGATTCCTTATTGGTCGGTGGGTTACGGTAGCTTTTGAAAAATCGGTGTCTTTTAGGAAACGCATCCAGTGTTGTGGCTTTGTCTTGGTTACCCAATAAGAATCGATTACTCATGACTATTTGTCATCACAGTTTGAATAACTTTTCCATTAATACTTACCTGCTGTTGGATAGACATTTGGGTACGGGTGAGCCGGTGGCATTGCTGGGTTTCTGAAATTGGCGGGTTTTTTTTGACTGGCTTCCATTTCTAAGACTTTTAAGAAATTTTAATTTTTTAAAAATAATTTAGTATATTAATATTTTCTTACATTTGTTGTTGCGGGAAGGCCATCATTGGTTGAGCCGGATACACGTAGCCTGGATACGGACCACCGGCTTGCGGGGATTGGACCTGGAGATGGGATTTGGTTTTGGGAGCTTGATAAAGTTCATATTTTCCAGAATTTAGATCAAACGGACTGCAATCAGTACGGCAAGGGTCTCGATTCAAATATGTTTTATTTGTAGTCAATTTACTGTAGCTGTAGCTATTACAGTAACCTGCAGATACCATGAAGCACACTAGGAGGCAACTACAGTACTCCTAGATAGCTGAAGATCTTTAGAATTTTGAGATTTTTGACGATATTCAGCTATTTGGACGAATTGGGTGCCAATTTGCATAAAAATTCGCTTACCATGACGTTGACTTGCATGCCCGGCTGGCTTTGGACGGGAGTGGCTGGGGTGTAGCAGCTGAAAGTTCGAGAAATTTAAGAAAAACTCAAATTGTGCAGCCTTCTGGGCTACAGAACCGATCCACTGCCGCATCTGGGCATAGGATTACGCTAGATTTACCGTAATCCATCCGCGCATACGGTAGCTTATCGAATATCGTCTGGGCACAGTAATATCACCGGAAATACTCTAATAAAAGCCTCCTCCTCCTATAGGAGCGTCGTGTAGTCTAAGTTTGCTCTCAAAGAAACGCTCATATCTCGACACCAGTACGTTTGTTTCTGCGCGTTTGGGTATCAAATGAATGGCGAGAGAATGGGTGACGTTTTGAGATATAAAACATTTTTCTAGCATTAACCAGTGCTGAGAAAAAAGTGATTGAAAAATGATTGAGAAATGATGAACAATCGGCTTTTTTTTAACAACTCACATATCGGGGACGGCGCGTTGACGCTTGCAGAGGAGATGGTGAATGTAGGCGTGAAAGCTCTTCGTCGTCGAAGAATTGATGATCAAAGCGATGATTGAGAGGCCGAGAACTGCGCCGGCGACACGACGAGCATCTAGAAAATGCCTAGTTTGCGTGACTAAGCCGGCTAGAGGCTCGGTGCGCCAAATGTGATGCGTTTGCGTCGAAACTCACGATTTTTAGCGTCACTATCTTGGATGCAGGAATGTTTATCGCAATAGTGATCGTAGAATGGATTTTTCGATCCGCGAACCAAAATATAGGTCATGTAGCCGAAGTTGATCACGAAACCGAACGAGACGATGATCTGAAGGGATTTGAGAATGCCGGATTTCCGGAGTGTCACCTAGTTGGCAATCTTTAGATTGACTTGGGTCGTGTATAGTACGGTTGGCTTTAGATTGACGTCTAGTACTCTAGTAGAGTCTAGTGAGCGGGCTCTTGCATCATTTAGGTGACTTTTTAAAGTTTAAGTGTCTTTTTAAAGTTTAGGTGGCTTTTGGAAGTTTAGGTGGCTTTTTAAAGTTTGGGTGGCTTTTTAAAGTTTGGGTGGCTTTTGGAAGTTTAGGTGGCTTTTTAAAGTTTAAGTGGCTTTTTAAAGTTTGGGTGGCTTTTTAAAGTTTAAGTGACTTTTTAAAGTTTAGGTGACTTTTTAAAGTTTAAGTGTCTTTTTAAAGTTTAGGTGGCTTTTGGAAGTTTAGGTGGCTTTTTAAAGTTTAAGTGTCTTTTTAAATTTTAGGTGACTTTTGAATTGAAAGTCAAACTTGAAACGTTTATATTGGGTTGGGGAGAATGAGTCGGCGCCGAAAATGAAAGAAATTTCTAAAACTTATATAGCAGACGTTGTCAAATGATATGCGTTTGATATCCGTAGAAGGGGTAACGAATTCTCTACAAAATCATATTTAAAAGAGAACTCAAACAGCGCCTCAACTCAACAAAGGATCATTTTTTTTTTTTGACAAAATCGATAAACTGTCATCAAGAGTAAACGATTGGAGGGGATCTTGCTGAGAATTTGGTAACTTATGTAATCGAGTGTGCTCTATCTTTTTTATATAAATTCCAAAGGAGGTTTATGTGTGGAAGAAACTGTTCAAGCGATGAGTCGCACTTTTTGTCATTTTGATTAGCTGTGTTTGGGAATCCATAAAAACCAAAAAAAAAAGAAAAAAAGCTTTATGGAATCTCTCAAAAGCCATTTTGTAAAGAAATAGTCGACCATTTTTGATGAAACAAAACGCTGTTTTTAAAGACGGTTTTATGGGTGCAAAAAGTTTCTTTAAAAATTTCGGCGCCGACTCATTCTCGACTCCAACCCCAATAAATTTCCTTAGAAATAACGTCTGCATTGACTTTTTATATATTTTAAGAGAGAAAACTTCTGCCTTTCGAATGAGACGCAAAAAGAGCCCAATAGGAAAGGTGAGTCGTGAGGAGGAAAGAAATCAAAGAAGAATCGGCCGAATCAAAGAAGAAACCCGCTGACGGCGTAGGTGTTTCGCTTTTCTCAGCACTGAGCGTTTCATTTAAAACCTTTTTTTTTGGTATCATTTGAAAGGCAGAAATTCGTTCTCTTAAAATCCATCAAAAGCAAATGAAAAACTTATTTCAACGAAAAGTTATCAACGTTTCAAGTTTGTCTTTCAATTCAAAAGTCACCTAGAAGAGCCCGGGCTTTCACCAGATTGCAAGTAACTAAAGCTGATCCAGACCGACACTCAAAACAATACCTAGACCTTTACTGGATCTAGTATCAGCTGTAAATTGATACTAGATTGTTAAGCTACGGTTTGTGGTCTGAAATCTCTCTAATCCTGACCGTCCAAACAAAATACGTCCTCAGCATGCAAACATTTTCCCTTGCCAAACCGACGAAAGCGAATAAGTGAAAGAAAATGATGATAGTGATCGAGCCGAATGCACCGTATTCCTAGAAATGCGTTTGGAAAGTGATGAGCAAAGATGGTTGGGGAAAAGTCTCTGAACTGAGTTAGTCGACAAAAACTGAGGCAGTCAGAAGCTCAGAATCTAGCCTGGGTTTACTTGCTGGTCAACGGCAGACCTTTTCCGGAACTTTGGAAGGCTGTAGCTGCCTTTTTGGGCAGCCATTGAGCTTAAGCCGCTACTTTTTAGATGCTGGACTAGACCAGGCCGAAAGCCTAGCGCAAGCCAACCATGGCCAGCCTATGACCAGCCTACCATGGCCAGCTTACCATTGGCCAGCCTAGGGCCAGCTTACCATTGGCTTCTGGTTAGCCCAGGTCTGACCCTGGAAGGCTTCTAGCTAGACTTTTTGGTTCAGAGAGGATCAAGAATCACTTTTGATCACTCAAAACTCACCGCTTCAGTGATGTAAACAATTGAAATGGCGATTTGAAAAAATAGGCAAAAAATGGCGAACAGGAAAGCTGAGTACTGAAAAATTTGAAAATTTCCCAGGATTTTGGCTGAATTTTTTTTTCTCAAAAATTTCACTTTTCTTTCATAAAAAACCCTAATTTGCCATCCAACTTAGAGCTTTTATTTTGAAATTTAACGAGTCAACAAAATTTCGCAAGAAAACTAAACAATAAAGTTTATGAGGGGGGAGGGGGGGAATCGAAGATTTTCCCCAATAACAAACCTTATACGGAACACACCAACAGCACTTTGACATCGTCGGGGGGGGAGTTTTTGGAAAAGAATTTTCAATTTAGAAAAGAGAATATCAAGACTAAGTTCAAAGAAAGTTCACCAATTCTCTCCAAAATTCTTATCACCAAAAAAATTTTGCGATGACTTTTTTCGAATCGTTTTTTAAGTCGTAACTTCTCTCAAAATTTTTATGCTTTCAGTGAATCATCAAGCTTTGGCTCAGCTGGTCTTAAAAATTTTATTATTTCTCGAGAGTTTTTGCTTTCGCAGCAGTGACGTCATTGATTGTGAAAGCAAAAAAAAAAAAAAAACGGGAATTTTAGCAAACTCATTTACGCTTTATATACTTGGGCAACAAAAAAAAACCCTCGCCCGAGCGCATCCCGAAGCCGCTTTCAAATCCCACCAATCATCAGCCGTTTTCGAGATATAAGCCTTCAAAGTTTCGGTCAAATACCAAATGCACAGTTTCGGCCAAATCAACGCCAAATACACAGAATCCCCTATCACGCAAATACCCCGAAAGATTTGTAGAATTTGTAGATTTGGTTCCTTTTCTCTACAAATTTGGTTCCTTTTCTCCAAAGATTTGGTTCCTCTTCTCTACAAATTTGGTTCTAAAACCCATTTAAAGAGCCGATCTAGCCGCTGGGATCGAACCCGTAACCTCACGACCAGGAAACAAGACTCCTTAGCCGCTCGGCCATGGCGGCATGAAGAGAATGCAAAATTCAACCTTCAAAAGCATCTAGTTCCCCGCTGTGCACTCCAGGATGACACTAGAATTTCAGGATTTATCAAAATCTTAATATCAACGACCGTTTTGATCGAGTTCAATTTTTCGGCGTTTATTCGAGGGATTTTGGATTCGATTCGATTCTCAAAATCAAGAAGATTCAGGCGAAAATCACGATTTTCACCATTACACCGTTTTGTGGGAGAAATTTGAGATTTGCCCTTGATTTCCAGCATTTTAAAGTCGATTCCGGAAATTTTCACATTTTTGGCGCTTGTTTTTTTGCTTGTCTGATATGCGCATTTTGTCATTCTTGTCATTTCAAAAGTTCGCATTATATGAACAACGTTTAATGAATAAATAGGTAGATGGAGCGAAAGAGAAAAAGAACAAAAGAATAAATTTCTGTACACCAATCGCAATTCTATCAATTAACACAGCGTTTTGACCTGAAGAAAGAAAGAAAAAAACCTTTGAAAAGGCTTCAGTACATTCAGTACAACAAAATACGTATGGGGGGAAAGGTTTGAAATAATAAAATAGACCTGTTTTTGTGGGGGGGATTTGAATTGAATTGATATTGATCCTTATTGATCCTTATTGATCCTTATTGATCCTTATTGATAGTAGAGCTCAAAATTGAAACCCTCATGTATCTCGTAGTCTTGTAGAGTGATGTGATCCTTGTAAATCGTGTACCATTTCTTTAAAACGATCTTGTCCCATCTGAAAACAAAAAGGAAAATGATTGACGAAATGATAACGATAATGATAAAGAATCGTTGAAAAACTCGATTTTACTATCGAATTTGATCTTTTTGATCTTTTCAATCATTCAGAACCAATTCTGTTGATTTTTCAATTTTCATCTCTCTAATCTACTTTATACTTTGAACTACTAGAGCAAAACCTTGACTACATTCGTTTATCGTTTAAAGTTATCGTTATCGTTAAGGTTATCGTTTAAAAGGTTTCCATGTTGCTTCTGAAAGTTTCCTAAGCTCATAGAGTAGTCAACTCCAGCTCCAGCTCGAACTCCAGCTCCAGCTCGAACTCCAGCTCAAGCTCGAACTCCAGCTTCAGCTCGAACTCCAGCTTCAGCTCGAACTCCAGCTCCAAGCTCGAACTCCAGCTTCAGCTCGAACTTCAGCTCGAACTCCAGCTATTCCCCAGTCAAAATCACACCCACCTTGTACCCGTTTGTAAAGCGATCAACTTTTTCAAGTCCCCAATCGTGTCATTCGGATTGCACTTGATTCGAACCTGAAAAGCAAAAAAAATAAAAATCATGAAATAGCTGCAGTTTTTGTTGGCTCAATATCAAGATCACTTTAATTTCCAAAAGCATTGCCCGGTATTGTTTTTGCGTTCAACAAAAGACATAAAGGAACTCATTTATATTGAGTTGACCGATAAGTAATGAGTCATTTTCAATCAGCAATATTTATTCCTTAAAGCCATCTAAGTCAATCAAAATAGTTTCCATTTTTTTTTCAATAAACTATTTCCATTTTACTGGTAGAAGGCGAATTCCTGTCGCGTAAAAAAAAATCAGATTTTGAGTCAATACTAGTTCTGTATCTATTTTTTGGTATCTTTTTTCATCTATTGATCGACTAGGGACTTTTCCATTGACCGAAATAAATTGTACTCTGATGGAGTTAGATCTGGGGAGTATGCTGGATAGGGTAGAAGTTCCCAGTCAAGGCTCTTGCTTGTACAACGAGTCAGTTTAGCAATGTGTAGACGAGGATTTTCATGCTTTAATATGATCTTTTTGTCTCAAGAGTTTTAGCTAAATTCTACAATTGATTATTATATAGTTGAGAGTCTTTGCTTGCCATAATAAATCTGAAAAAGGCCATATTGAAGCATGACAATCCTCGCCTAAAATCCTGCTAAACTGGGCTGGGAATCTCTAGCACCAGCAAGATCCCATACACCAGCCATCCATCAGCAAAGATCCCACTAAACTGTGAGCATAAACTTCTTTTGATGAGTCTCAGGCTTGGGTTCAGGAGAAGCTTTTTCTCCGGGTCCAACCCATTGCGTTTTCTTCCGAAATTTTATGGAAGTTAACATCATCTCCTGTTAAAGTTAACATCATCATCTCCATCTCCGATTTTTTTTACGTGACAGGAATTCGCCTTCTAATAGTAAAATGGAAATAGTTTATTGAAAAAAAATGGAAACTATTTTCATTGATTTAGATGGTTAATTTTTATTGATGGGGCAATAAGAAATGAGTCATGTAAAAGAAAGGAAATTTTACCGTTGCTTTTAGTTGACTTTTAGTTGTGTTTACCACTACTAAAAGAGACATCAGACTTTCCTTATTTCAAAAAAATTGATTAGGCGCTGCTTTCTTAGATACTTTAGATTTCTTAGATACTAATAGATCAACAATTGTGATTACAGTCCTTCTAAATGTCCATATATTTAGCATACCCGTATTTTCTCTAATAGTAGTGCACCGCGGGCGAGAGCCGAGTTGGTATTTTACGGTTTTAAAGCTTTTGCACAAGCTCAACACTCTAAACCCTCTACAAGATCTCATCGTCAGCTACATTTTTGATATCGATAGGTTCTGTTAAGCGATAGGTTCTGTTAAGCGATAGGTTCTGATACATCGATAGGTTCTGTTAAGCGATAGGTTCTGTTAAGCGATAGGTTCTGTTAAGCGATAGGTTCTGTTAAGCGATAGGTTCTGATACATCGATAGGTTCTGATAAGCGATAGGTTCTGTTAAGCGATAGGTTCTGTTAAGCGATAGGTTCTGATACATCGATAGGTTCTGATAAGCGATAGGTTCTGTTAAGCGATAGGTTCTGTTAAGCGATAGGTTCTGTTAAGCGATAGGTTCTGTTAGGCGATAGGTTCTGTTAGGCGCTAGGTTCTGTTAAGCGATAGGTTCGGTTAATCGATAGGTTCTGTTAAGCGATAGGTTCTGTTAAACGATAGGTTCTGATAAGCGATAGGTTCTGATAAGCGATAGGTTCTGATAAGCGCTTTTCGAGATTTCGAGCAATTTAGGCGACGCCCAGGGTGCACTGCTATTAGAGAAAATCGAAAATCAAAAATATAATTGTATTCATTAAATTCTCAAAAACCGATTCACCTTTTTCCCGAGTCGATCGTTGACGGTGATCTCGATCATTTCGTCCACTCGATAGAGAGAAAAGGAGGTTCTGAAAGTAAAAATATGTTAATTTTTACAAACAAAAACAAAAAAACAAGATTCATAAAAGGAAATCTATGAGAAATCACTAAAAATCCCTAAAAAACCCAAAGTTATGCAATTTTTTTTCGAAATCTCACCTAACAGCGGGGATTTTACAAAGAAAAACGGCTACATTCGACTCCTTTGGACACCAAAACCAAAAGAAAAACGTCAAAGAACGTGAAAATGAGTCACTTTACTCAAAAAAAAAACATGTTCTTGAGTAATTTTATGCAATTTCCTTTTTTTAAGATGGCTGCTTTAAGCTATTTTTAGCTAAAACAGCTGTCTTTAAGCTATTTTTCTAGCTTAAAACAATATTTTTAACACTTTTTTTAACAAAAAACTTCAATTTTCCACACAAAAAACAACGAGATTTCGGCTTAAAAACAACCAGATTTCGACTTTCTGCTCGATTTTTGGTTTCAAAACGAAAATCGAACAGTTTTACGACAAAATTCATCTAATCCAACACTTTCAAAGCTTTTCAAAGCTTCTTTGCCAAATTTCCCAAAAAATTCCATTTCAAAACCCTCAAAGTACTCAAAAATCGCTCAAAAACCATCAAGCAAACGGTTAAAATTTGCGTTTTTTTTTTTCAAATCTTTATTATTCTAAATACACTCGATTTACACGATAAAAAAAAGAGAATAGAATAAAATTTTGGAAAGAGAAAAAGGAAAAAAAAACGAGAAACTCGCTGAAATTACCACTAAAATCTACAGCTATTTAGTTAAATTTCATAAAAAAAAAAATTATCACAAAAATTGGTGGAGTTGACACCGATTTTTTTTTTCTTCGCGAAACTTACGGAATGTTCAAGAAAAATTCGCTCACAAACCAGGGAAATTTGAAGGGGGAAAAGAAAAGAAACTGAAGGCAATTGGGCTGACAAAAATTCAAAAATTTTTTTTTGGATTTTTGTATATTCATTTTGCCTAAAACTTTGTCATAACTTTTTGAGCTGAAAAAAGAGAGAAAATCTAATAGGAAAGATGGGATTTAAAGGAAAGAATTGAAAAAAATCGCCTTTTTTGGACTACCATAAACACAAGTGACGTCGTTCATCAGCGGTGGGAGAAGTGACCTGAAAAAGAAAGGTTATCTTTGTTATCTTTTAAACATTAATAAGCTAAAGTTTAACGTGGGATTTAGATAAAGAAAAGGAAAAGGATAAAATGGTGTTTGTTTGTTTGTTGTTTGTTTGTTTGTTTGTTTTGTTTTTGTTAGCATTATCTCTATTGTTAGCATTATCTCAAGAGGTTGAGCTATTTTTGACAAAATTTGCTATCAATAAGCACTTTGCAAGGACCGTTACTTCATAAAACATAAAAACATAAATTAAACTTGATTTCAGGCTTCAAGGATGCACTTAATTGCTTCACTAAAATTTCCCACCCTCGTGTAGCGTTAAAAAGCAACTGTTGGTGATTTTTGGCCTTTGAATCAGTCTTGCTCCATCTGGATTCTAATAAAACTGTTGCCTTGATCCATTTTTTGTTTTGACTGACCTTAACAATGCTAACAATGCTAACAATGCTAACATGAGTTAAAGTAAATCTATAGTTAAGCGTTGAGTGAGATATTCTTAATTGCTCCTCTTTAACCAAAAAAAAATCTTTCAAAATTAAAAACCAAGTTAAAAAGTTGATGATTTTTGGTTCCAGCTTTTTTGAAAATCACAAAGATTTATGCATTTTGCTTTAATTTATTTAAAAAAAATCGTTCAAAATTGCCCACCTTTTACGAGAATTGTCCGTGGAGTTTCTTCTGGAGACGAAGATTGTGATGCAATTCGGGCTTGATATCGCACACCAACTGCAACAGACGAACGATCACCTGGAAAAGGGAAAGATTAAAAAATAACCGTAAATAAAATCAGAAGCCATTTTTTTCCTTCATTTTCAAAATAGTCTTCTTTTAAGTTTTAACAACACCACAAAACACACCTGCTGCTTGTTTTGAGCCACCGTGCGCTTCATGTTGTCGATCTCGGCCTGAAATGAGAAAGATGATTAAAGCAAATAAAGCAAATAAAGCAAATAATTAAAGCTAATACTTTACTAAAGCTATCAAGATCAAAGTTCCCAAGAATGGGCAAGAGTTCAGTTTACTTTCAGCTCTATACTTTTAGCGTTAATGCAACTCTAGTTAGAGATAGTCATTTAGTCAGAGACTCGAATCAAAATCTTTATCACCAAAAACTTTGAATACCTCAGTGTCCCGGCGAATTTGTGCCTCAATGTCCTCCTTTGTGCCAAGGTATTTCTGCTCGAAGGCCTTGAACTCGTTCTCGCGTTCCTAAAACAGAAAAAAAAATCAGTATTTGGCAAGAAATTGTTCAATTGTTAGAAGCTAAATCTACATACCTGACGATACTTCTCAACTTCTTGTTGAGCTTCTTGCTTGGCCTGCTTCAGACGTTGTGTTTTGCGTTTGCGAGCCTGAAAATTGAAGAAATTAGAAAAAGTATCGAAACTAGCATAAATGAAGCTTTAGATCGTGTCAAATTCTTACTAAGCCTTTCAAACTAAACCTAGTGTCAAGTGTCCAGTGTCAAGCTTTACTTTTATTATCTAAGTGTGTCGTTTTTCTAATTTTAAGCACTAGATAGGCATAGATTAGCTCAAAAATTGCACGATTTTTCAAGCTTAAAACTTCAGTCAAGTCAAAAGTCAAAAGTTAAGAAGCGTTTACTTTTACAGGATCGTTTGGTTTGGTTAGAATTGGTTAGATTAGCTTCAATTTGCATAGTTAACTTTTAAATGACTTTTAAAGTCTTTTAGTCATAAGCAGGACACTAATGAAGTGTTTAAAACGCTTCTAGACTTTTATTCGTAAGCAGGACACTAATGAAATGTTTAAAACGCTTCAAACGTTCAGAAAAAAAAGTCTAAAGAGTCTAAAAGTCTAAAAATTTCCCAGAAATTTTCGATCTTGCTTTGTTTTCTCATTGGGCTGTCAAAAAACAGGGTTTTTGAACAATTCTTGTCAAAAGAAACAATTCATGTCAATGATTTTGAACAATTCAAAATCGTCGCTCAGCTCACCTCGTTGATTTTCTCGGCAGCGCGCTTTTCGGCGGAGAGCAATTGCTGGATTCCCTGGGTCTGAGCAGCCATTCTAAACAAACAAACATTATTAAAAGCCATCAAATTCCTCAATTTTAAAGTTTCTAAAAAAAACAACATCAAAAATAAATCAAAGCAATCAATAAACCAAAAATAAATCAAGCAAAAAGCTAAAAAATTCAGCATATAATTCATTTTTAGCATCGAAAAGGCAAAGTTTTAGCAAATTTTAGCAAAAAAAGCAAATTTCCTTTAAAAATTGCTTTTACAATGTCAAAAACGCGCAATTCTAAAAGCTTTTTTAAACGAGCAAAAGGGTGAATTGTTGAAAATTCGTCTTGTTTTCGTTAAATTTTACCTCAAAAGCACTAAAAATTGTAAAGTTCTATAGTTAAAAGGTCAAGAAAAGATCAGGAATTGCATTTTGGAGACTATTTTTTCTCTCAATGAAACGGGAAAAGGAGAAGAGGCAAAATCGGGCGAGAGATCACCAAAAATGGAGAGAATAATGGAATTCAGGCAAAAGATCAATTTCTGGTCCAAACCAAGGGCACGCTTTAGAATCGACTGGCTGGAGAAAAGTGAAAGAAAAAGAGAGCTTTCAGACAAAAAGGCTTTGAACAATAGACTACGGTAGTTAGACTTGATTATCGGTTAAAGTTAGTTCACTTTGAAGTTAAAAACGTGCCCCTTCACGTCTATCCTAACCTACCGTATTTCTTCGAATAGAAGACCGGGTAAAGAGTATCATCGCGTACTCCTGCGTAGCAGCCCTTTTTAAAATTTCTTTTCTGCATAAAAGCTTTCAATCAAGTGCTATAGAGCTGGAAAATGACTCAAAAATACCACATGAGCTAACAGATTTTTGAGCCATTTTCCAGCTCTATAGCACTTGATTGAAAGCTTTTATGCAGAAAAGAAATTTTAAAAAGGGCTGCTACGCAGGAGTACGCGATGATACTCTTTACCCGGTCTTCTATTCGAAGAAATACGGTATTTAGGTGTACTGTAGCTTTTCTATTGAATGCTCCAGATCCCCAGGAGCAACAGAATAAAAGGAAGCCGCTTTAAACTGTCCCTTTTCTGTCTGTCTGTCCGTCCGTCCATCCTTTTTCAATCTGTTTTCTAAACCACGCTCCTCTTTCCCAAAACTATCGTAATCTCTATTTTTATCAAATCTATCTACTTTTTGTATCATATCCCTCAAAGTAAAAAAAAATGAATAGATTCGATAAAAATAGAGACAACGATTACGGTAGTTTTCGAGGGAAATGCAGGCACATTTTAGGATAGATTTAGAGAGGAATATCGTGAGATTACTTTAGCAAATGAGCTAGAAAGACGAGAGTAGGGTAGCCAAAAGTAAAAAAATCGATCAAGAAGATCAGAAATATCGATCAGGTACATTTGAAATATTCAAATTCCACAAAAACATAATTATAAAAGCTTTTCGAAATACCATTTTATTCCTCATCTGTACACCATATCGCCACAAAAAAAAAAAAACGCAAATTTGACTATCTAAATCGGAAATTTCCTATTCACAACACACAAAAACCAAAAAAAAAAAGAAACGCTTAAGAATTATCACAGAGTTGAATAATATCATTTTTGAAACGGGAACATGAAAAAAAAAGCTACACAACAGCGAAAAACCGGTTCACACGCATTTCAAAACCATTTTTGAGCCGAAAAAAAAATCGAATAAATACCTAAACCAAATCCTAAATAATGGATTTTCTAATCAAAAAAAAGCACAAAAACAAACGTAAATTGCAAAAGTTTTCAAAATCTCCCTATAACATTGGAGTAACCAAAGCGTGCACCGGGGGAACGACGATCAGCGATTCGCCTCCGTCCGAAAAAACGGCTTTCACCTGGAAATGAAATGAAATGTGATCAATAACTTCAAGTAAAGCACAAATGTGCTCCAAATACCGTAATTTGACTAGCGTTTCGTGGAATCAACTAAATGAAATCGTTTTCAACGTAGGAATGTTTCCAAAACGAATTTTTTACGGGCCAGCCTGCATCAGAAGCCAGTCCTACCAGGCAAAAAGCACATGTAAAGTACGGTTGCGGGCTTATTCTTGGATTAGATTAACCTCCAAGCCCACCTGTAACTGATTGCCGAACAAATCGTAGAAAGACGGATGCGCGACACGAATTTTCATCAACGAGACGGTCTCCGAGTGGGCGGACACACAGCGAATGCTCCATTCTTCCCGATCGGTCCACCTACGAGATTATGATTTATATCTTAACACCATTATCATTTTCATAACTTAAACTACTAAAAAGTGCTAGGGTTTTTTCTCATCACTGTCTGCCTGGATAAAAAGGGAGCTACTCTTTCGAAAAATGAATGAATAGCTTTAAACAGCTATCAAAACTCACCATTGTTGTCTCGAATCAACGGGCAACGGTGTAGCCAGTGGTAGTGGTATCTAAAAAAAGAACAAATTGAGCTTCAAAGCTAAACTTTCACTGTACCTTCGGGGTGAATCGAAATGTCAACGCACAATCGCGATTCTCATCATTTCGAATGTGCAACTCGACGGGGAATTCGCAGATTCTAAAAAAAATGGATTAACATTAAAAAGGTAAAATACTTAAAAACCCACCTATTCACTCGAAAATCATGTGCAATCGGTGCTAAATGACCCACATAAATGTAGACTCCTCTCGATTTGTCCGAGTCCTGAAAAAGGAAAGATTTGTCTTGACTTAAAGCATAAAAGGACAAAAAAACAAAAACAAAAACAAAACTGTTAGATCGTTCGACAAACTTTCGATTCATTAAGTTGCCAAAATGCCTAACCTCTTCATCTTTTGGCCACGCGATTCCGGGAATTCGCAAACCGGCCGCTGCAAACGGATCGAACACCACTGATTCGCCAAGGATCGATGAAACCTGGAAGGAAAAAGATCTGAACGATTCAAACTCGAACACTTAACAAGTGCTTAAAGATTAAAACGCTTTGTAAATGGTTGTAAATGGTATCATTTCCGATTTCCCTACAATACTCCGCAAATTCCCCACCTGTCCCTGATTGTTGACGATGGAGGCTTTCCACAAAACGGCAATGAGAAGGGTTGGTCGTTGAGTGACACAGTCCACAAAAGAGGCGAGCGGAAGCGGGAAAATCGGACAATCGGGGATCTGGAAGAGAAAAACATGAGTAACTTGTAAACTAGACTTGAAAAACGAGTTATAACAAGTACCAATACCAATGATAGCGTCAATGCCAATGATAGTTATAACTATGCCCAACTCATTTACCTCCGAAGTCAGCCACATCAACGAATTCGAGCCAGCAAACGCGGCGGTCACCGAGACGCACACAGAGTCCGATTGGGCACAGTCGAGTTGAACTTAAAAGGTATTGATTTGATTAATTTGCGGTGGCATCCAACTATGACAGAACTGAATCAAGACCCAATTCCCCAGGACAGGCAAGCCAAACTCTTGGACTTTGACTATAAACGGCTATTCTCCAAAAAATTATCCCAAAACCATCACCCACCACTCCTCAAACGAATCGGTCGTAGCGCCAATGCCTCCCGCGACTCCACCAGTCCCCCATCTCTATCCATGTGCACCAAATGAGATGAAATCTGAAGGAAAAGTATTGAAATGGACTTAATTGTTCAGGTTATCTAAACTACCTATATCATAAAATTGATCAAAAAAAGATACCCTGCAAATATCAATCCTTGCCAGCGCCGCGTCCGATGTAGGCATTTGATTTCGAATATCGATCGATATCAAACCATGAATTGGATCTAAAATTGTCAACATTGTAAACAAAAACAAAAACAAACAACAACAACAAAAATCCAAGAGAAACTCACCGAGTAAACAGCCGTGAGCAGAAAGAAGAGGTCGACAATTGAGTGGCACCTGGAAATCGAATAGAAATAAAAAGCCAAAAGAGATAAATAAAAGAGAAAGTCAGAGCGTGGTACTAAATTTTCTTTTTACTAAGCAATTTAAGCTTAGCTTCATTTATATAATATTTAATATTCTCACCAGAATCCTTTGCTCTCTAAACGATCCATTCGACGAGCGATAGAAAACGAGCAGTCCTACCGAGAATTTCGAGGGTTGTTGAGGGGCACGAATGTCGACAAAAACTCTAAATTAAATACATTGCATTCAAAGAGACCAACCAATTTTACCTCCTCCGATCTCCATTCGCCAAAGAAACGCCAGGAAAAGTGAGCACACGAATTTGCGCGTTATTCTCGGAGACGCACGACGGTTGCACCAAGCGGAGACCATTTTGATCAAATATACCTGAAATTGAATAGCTAGAATAGCTTTATTCAATTTTCAATTTTCGTCAATTTTCGAATTTCAACCTCCCGAACAACAATCCACTCCATCAGTCGCAATGCAAAAGCCGCTAATCGCCTCGTCGCCAATGTTTTCCACCTGAAAAATGAAAAATGGTCTATTGTTTGGATCAACTTTAGTCTAAAAAAGCAATTTCTCTACAGTAATACGATTTTGTTCCGCTCCCAATTAGCCTATGAAATCCCAAAATATCTCACATTCAACACGATTCTCACGGCTTGTCCACAGAAGACGTATTCCGGCAGCGGTCGCTCCATTTCCACATCCAAAAGTGGCCATTTCGACGCCGAGACGTTCACCTCCAAGCGACGATCCTCCGAGTAGACAATGTTGAGTTTCTAAAAATTGGATTTGTTTATTGATTCAATCAAAGTAGGCATTGGCTACCGGGTGAAAACCGGAAACGTATTCTTGATTTATTTCAAAACCCACATGATCAGCCTGTTTATTCAAGCGTGGTCCACGCAAAGCAATCGGCAAGAATCCGTGCACGCGCGTGATCGCCTCCTTCTCATCTCCCGTCGCAACCAAGTCCAGTTCGATGCCGCTCACACGGAAATGCGCAATTGCCGCCGATGGGCGCAGATATAACTCGACCTAAACATGATAAATTGTTTATTTCTGCTAAAAATGCTACCATCTTTTCACTCGTCGCCTCGATCGTCACCTCTTCACACACTGAGATCTCCTCAAAATGCGCTACGGATGATGGCGGGTGATTCTCTCTCAATTTCACATCAACCACAGCCGCTTTGAGATTCTGGAGGCATAGTGGGATACCTTAAAAAGGAATAGAAAAATAGAACAATATAATACGTTCAAAATGGCTTCCATGAATCACCTTTTAAGTGTTTTAACACAATTTTAAGGCTTTCTTTATATCTCTTTTCCTAATCAAAACAATTATAAGACTGTTAAATTCAAGTTTGAAGCTTGAATTTGAATTTTCAAGCTTCAAGCTTGAATTGAGTCACAAGTATCTTAAAGACACCATTAGCAACAATCAACTCACTCAACGGATTCCTCAACCGAACCATCAATCGAAATCGTTCCCCGGCTGGCGTTTGTCGAATCCGAGTATTGTTCGTCGTTTGATCCGACACCACGCAAATGTATTGAAAAGCGGATGATGGACCTAAAATGATCAGTTAACAACAGCACAAATATCCAGCAACAAACCTGCCAACGAATGATAGGCGGCTCGTTGTATCTCTTCCCACTGATGTTCCTTCTCATCTCGGTCTTCTTCACCATCCAAACGATTCCTCAAAACCGTTTGACTGCTCGGTCGTTCCCCGCAAACAACCGTCGTCGCTTGGGCATCGATGAGCGGAAGCCGTAGATGTACTCGTTCTTTGGCATCAAGGGAGAATCTCTAAAATGAAAAGATTCAAGTAGTTAAAGATATCAGAGTTAGACTTGGCCACTAGCCGTAATTTAAGGCTTAAAAATTCAGCATAATGGTTGATTCTCATAAAATCCCTATCCAATAACAATTTATTTGCTTTTAAAGTGCATCTAGACCAAATCTAGACAAAGTTATACTTTTTTCATTATCGTTGAAATGAATCTTATCAATAGATCAAGCATTTACCTTAACAGTGGCCACGAAATGACTCAAATACTCGGCTTGTTGATGAGAATTCTGGTGATCACCGGTTCGCAATAACCGCGTCGCACACGCGAATGAGATCTTTCGCTCGTCACACTCTCGGGAAATCGCCAACGCCAAGAAATCCTAAAATTTGACATAAAACACTGGAATAACCATCCACCATAAGATAAAATTAAAATCAATCAATTCTAGTAGTCGATCAAAGTATCAAAGTATCTAACTCACCTCGGCATGATCCCAATTCTTCTCAAAATACTGCGAGAGAGCCATTCGGTAGCATTCAATGGCCAACCGGGGTAGAAGAGCTTTCATGAAGCGATTGCCAGCAAGGACACTAAAAAATTTTTTTGACTTAAATTGACAACTACACTCTTTAGAATACCAAATACAATTGATTTATGATATCAAAACAATTGATCTCAAAGATATTGATTGATCAAATCTCAAAGCTAAAGTCAAGCTCACCGGTAAAATGCGGCTTTCCGATCCATTCGGGCTCGCTCAAAAGCAACGGCGGCCATTGAAAGACAAACAGCCACGAAATTGTCGACATCCTAAAAAGCTATTCATGATTTTTTTCCAGTTTAAGCCTTCAAATATCAAACTGCAATTTCCCCTTACCATTTGAGTGATCCTCACAAGTTGCATGGCCGCTTCGACATTCAACTCTAGCCTTGTCAACACCTCAAACGCTTGCAGAACACAACGGAGTGGGCAGGTGTAGCGGCTAAATCTTTACATTAAACGCTAGATATTTTAATTAGCACTGTGATTGTACAATCATTTGTACAATTGTACAAATGTATGTACAATCACGCACGATCAAAAGTACAAACTGACATTTCTGGTTCGACAATCTGACATAATTTTCGATTAGAAATCTTGGCTAATAGTCTTGGATCAAATTTTTGAAATAAACTCACACATTCGTTGTCAACAAATGCGTCAACGCGTTCTCGAAGTAGCGGACGGGGAAATTCTTCGCCAGCATCCCGGGATTCGACAGAAAAAACGCGTATGATGACATGTCCTAAACAAAGGAAAAAAAGAGTCACTAAAAAGTCATAAAATCTTACCAAAGCAGCTGCATGATAGGCCCAAGCGTTGTCGTGGGCGAACTCTTTCTTTACGCTCTAAATGCAAAACTTGAAATAAATTCACGATATGATTTCTAGTGCCTGATATTGTTGATGAGCTTTCTCGTAGAGGCCAAACTCGAAGAAAAGATCGGCCAGTCGGCGGCTCTGCATCTCGACACTCTCATTTGAATAGCTAAAAGAGGAATTTACAAGGCTGCTAAGTTAAGGCTGGATTGCTGGATTGCTGAATCGCGAGAATTCCGAAACTATGGTAAATCCAAATCTTTAATCAATTTTGCAATCATTCGACGAACGAAAGAGACAGATTCTAGCCTGCTAGAGAGTTTCTGCTTTTCGTTAGATATATCGTTTTTGTTACTAATGTAAAGAATTTAGTGTTAAAACTCACGAAACGATAGCCGTTTGTGCAACCGCTGGCGTTGCAAACCATTTCTTCATATTCGCCTTGAGACTCCGTGGGATTCCTCGTCGTTGACTCACCGCTTCTTGCAAGGAGCGCATTAAACGTTCGATGTAGGGAATCTGAAACGTTAAGTATTATTTTTGATTTAAAATTTTGCTATAAAAATTTGGCTACAAGACTTTGAAGCTCTTTAAACACTTGGCTGTGGTTTAAAGAGCTTTCAAGAGCTTTAAAGAGCTGTTTAAAGAGCTGTGGTTTAAAGAGCTTTAAACACTGCACAAAACGTTTTATAATTCATGTAAATTCTGACCAAATTTTTCTCGGTGAATTCCTGCAGCGTTGCTCGAAGTACCTCATGATCGCCTATCGTTATTTTTCTCTAAAGAAAAATATTTATAATCAAGGAAAACATTTTCCATACATTTGTTAATGGTTGAAATTGTTGATTCACATTGTTTACCAAATTTTCTGAACCATTTGTCGAACCCGTAATGACGAAACCCGGTGAAATCGTGGAAATCGAAGCGTTCTAAAGAAAAATGTCACACAAAATGTTAAATAAGGACAATTTTGGAGATTTAAATCAATCAGATTTAAATTCTAGACGTGACTTCTGAAGTAATCATTATTTTAGCACATCAAAAATGCTTACAAAACCCTTTTAAGAGCTTTCAAACAATGAAAACTTCCTATAGGCTTCTTTTCAAATAAAATTTACCGCATTCTCCTTATTTTCACTGGTCGACTTGTTCAGTAAAGTGCTTCGAGCTCGCGAAAGTCCCCTTTGTAAAATCTCCGTCTCTTCGATCACTTCACTCCAGACATCAATCGAATCTGAAAAGGGTCAAAATACAAAATTAAATAGCGTTAAAGTAACACAGTTGAGTCAATTTAGCATCTACAAAACCATTATTAAGCCTTGTCCTTGTCCATTATTAAGCCTTGTCCTCACCTTGTCCATTCTCACTCCCGATCCTCAGCAAGTGACACGAATCAGCGCCGTACGTTGCGCAAAGTTGTCGAAAGGTTTCCTGGGTTCTGAAAATGGTGATGTTTAATCAATTTCTAAGCTTTTAATCAATTTCTAGAGCTTTTAATCAATTTCTAGAGCTTTTAACCAAATTTCTTGCACTTTAGAGAGAGTTGATCCTCAATGAACATTTAAATGGTTCAAATGACATTCAAGAAAGTTCAAGAACGTTCAAGAAAGTTCAAAGAAAGCGTTTTTCTTTACTTTAGTTAGATATTAGTTAGATAAACTTTCAATTTTTCAATAGTTAAACTTAAACGGGTCAGACCAGCAAAAATCCTATTCATTTTAGTTTTTAGCCAAAAAACAAACCTCGTTTCATCGTCTTGCACACAGTCATGCAAGCAAAAGTAGTGTTTCAACGTGTTCGGCGCTCTCCACTTTGGCGGCGCGCAATGTGATGGAGCCAAAACGTTTCCCTCAACCGATGTGCCGTGCTAAAGATAAAGTTCGAAATCGAGGACATATTTTCATTAGATAAGTACCTGTTGTGTATTCTGTAATTGAATGAGGCTGCTCAGCTCGCCCAACGGTTTCTCCTCACATCCGGCCACGAGGAAAACGCAAGCCACATACGTTCGGAAAGTTTCGTACTCGTTCGGTTCGACGAAACGCGAGAAATAGTGTTGAAATTTCTTCTGACATTCGTCAAGTGATGAGCAGGCGAGGAGAGCCTAAAAATAAACGGTATAAGGTAGAGGATCTGGTACTTGGTCGGTACTACATGCACCAGACAAAGAGGATCTGGTACTAAGCCGGTACTACATGCTCCAGACAAAGAGGATCTGGTACTACGCCTGCCGGACAACAGCCGCACGCTGCATAATGCTTCGAATTTGAGAATGCTAATACAAAAGCCCATATTTGCCCAAGTTTCAAGAAGATTCATCTTGATTTCAATGTTTTAGAACGATGGTCGTGATCGAATGGTCGTTCCAATGGCTAAAGTGCCTAAGCGAATACCACTGGGGTTTAAATAGAGGTTTAAATATATTCAGTATAGCTGGAAAGATTTTTTGACAGTCGTCATTTGTTTTTGATTCAGCCGTGCAACTGTTGTTTCTGCCTTAAGGGGTCAGGCTTAGTGATTCTATTCTAAAGTTTTTCAAATGTTATATGTTTTTATGAAATCTGCCTTAAACGTGACTGAAATTCGGAATCAGCATGAAAAACTGATCCAGAAAAAGTAGATTGAAAGAAATTGCCCTCCCCCCAACCGGCGTAGTACCAAGGATACTAAGCCGGTTGGGGGAGGGCAATTTATTTTGCTTCTTGTTAACTGTAAGTCTGAAGTTGAAAGTTCTCTTGAAGTTCCCCGTAAAAATGAACTATTTTAGAGGGTTAAAAATCTGTCTAAGAGTCCCATTTGAGTGCCTAAGAGTCCCAAATTTAAGTTTGAATCTCGTTAAACTCACTTCTTGCAATGTTGGCAGCAAAACGGTCAACGAAAGCAGATATCCTTGTTTCCGGAGATCGCGAAAGTCGAGCCGCGCTTTCCCGTTGAGCACATTTCCATTAGCGGGTTCCTGAAAAAGAAATCTATAAAAAGAAATCTATATATATATTTTTAAACTTTAAACTATTTAAGATCTTAAACCTGACCTAATGTCTGATTTGATTTGTTCAAGAACAAGATCAAGTCAAACAAGTCATTTAGAGAAATTGGAAGGCAAATGCTATTTGTCTGTCTATTTGCTATTTAGCAAATGCTATTTAACTTGTCATATTGCCCCAGTTTGCTTGCTTTAACAGCTTTAAGAAGCTTTAACAATGAGAGAAATTACTTTATCAAAGGCAAAAATGTGCCCAAAAAGTCATTTTGTTGTTTTCTTCATGGAAAACCGAATCTTTATTCCTTGTCAGCGATCAAAAATGTATTTTTTTTGATAATGGCTGATAGAGGTGATAAGCTTTGTACAAAGTACGAATGCTTGTACAAAGTACGAATGAATTGTACAAAGTATGAATGCTTGTACAAAGTATGAATGCTTGTACAAAGTACGAATGAATTGTACAAAGTACGAATGCACAAATTTCCCCAAATCTATTCAATTTCCAACGAACCTTTATGTTGAAATTGATCTCAGCAAACGGATAGAAGAGTCCACTCCACGAGTCGAGCCCCAAACGTTTAAGGCGCGCATCGGCAGCTTCGGACGAGAGGAGTGCGATCGGGACACCCTAAAATAATAAATAAAAGGTGTGTGGCAAATTTCAACTATATATTTCAACAATTTCATTTCAACTAGGTGCGTGGCAATTTCGTGGCTCATTTCAAACTATTTGTATCAGGCTAGCCGAAAAGTCTTTTCCTCTTTTTTAAAGGTTACTTTTTGAAATGAATAATGAACAAAACGATGAAAAACGATGAAAAACAAATGAAAAAACAAGAATTCTTGTAGGGATTTGGTTCAAAGCGGACTTAAATCTGCCTAAAAGTGAGCTAAATGAAATAAATGGAATAGTTTAACTTTTTATTAAGGCAAACTACACGTTTATCGGCTAATTTTTAAAAAATTCTTCATTTATAAAGAAAAATTTCAAAAAAAGCGCACAATATTTCGGTCAAAACAATAGTACCCTAAAGTCTCGAGTATAAGTTCATCCGAGTATAAGTTCTGCCTTAATTTACATTCGCTTTAATTGCTTTTTGTTGGGTTTTTATACATTTTTATTGTTAAATAAACTTTTATTATTGTTCTTGGAGCGCGAGATACTACAGGGTAGCAGCCTATCACCATTGCTATTTGTTATGTGCATGGATACATCCAGATGATAGTGTTGAAGAAGACGCTGGAAAGCATCTCTTTCGACCGTCGACGTGGACTTTGGCCGGATGAAGAGGCCAGGGAGGGATCCATAAGACTGAGCACCGGAGAGGAGCAGGGCGGACGCGCCGAGCCACGCCCGGAGCAACAAATAACAGCATAAAATTGCTATAACCCTCAATAAATTTACTTCTATTATTGTTCTTAAAAAGCAAAAAAGTTATGCTGCAGCGGGGTTCGAACCCTCGACACACCGCACCGGAGACAGCCGTCAATTTGCATCCGAAAACCAAACAGAACTTATACTCGCGACTTTAGGGTAAACTATTCAAAAAACCATTCAGAATCAATAATCTTTTACTATTACGCGTTTATTACTTTAAAAACTAAGATTCCATTTGTTTTAAGCAATGGTTGATAAAATAAAATCAATTGAAATCGAATAAAATAAACTAAAATCTTAAAAAAAGCTTCAAAAATCACAGCTTTGCACGATTTTTCGCACTTTTTAGCACTTTTTTTGCAATTTTCTTTTCAAATCAACACAAATCAACTCTAATAAACCTTTTAAAAGTTAGAAAAATCAATTTTCTAACCCTTCTAAACCTTTTCGATTCGATTTCGATCAATTTTTCGCTTCAACAATCATAAAATCCAACCTGTTTCATAACAATTCACTTGAATATCCGTCGAAATCGTCAAACGCTTTGGCGAAAATCGTCCAGAAATCTATAAAATATAAAATTATAGCTAAAATTTACAAGTTTCAATTTGAAAAACAAAGAAAATCGAGTTAAAATCGAGTGAAAAACGAGTTAAAAACGTGTTGGAAAACGAGAAATTTCCCTTTGGACCGTTAATCGTTGGGTGAATTTCTCTCTTTTTTGTGTTTGTTGAGCACAAAAATGTGATGTCAATTGTTGGCTAGGGGAGTTTCGACGCCGAATTGAAGCATTTACATGGCGTGGAGCTTAGAACATTCAAAAATGGTTTAATTGAACAAAAGTTGGAGGAAAACTTGCGATCTCTTCTAAGCTTCATGCTAAATGCTTTTTATATACAATCTTTACATTTAACGATATTCAGTTCTTTAGCTGAATAACTTTCTCTTTGTTGAAATCGGTTTAAACATTCTTCTTAGTTATTTTCAATCATTTAGCTGAATATCTTCTGATTTTATTTTTTAATATAAATTTGATTCTTTCGTCATTCTTCATACCAGAATTTCTACATTTAATGATATTCAGTTGTTTAGCTGAATAGCTTTTTCTTTGTTAAAACGGGTTTAAAGACCCTTATTTATTTATTTCGTTATTTTCAATCATTTAGCTGAATATCTTCTTGTTTTATTTTTTAATATAAATTTGATTCTTTCGTAGTTCCTGAATAACACAATTTCTATATTTAATGATATTCAATTCTTTAACTGAATAGCTTTATCCTTGTTGAGATTTGTATAAAGGTTGTTTCTAATCATTTTCAAACATTTACCTGAATATCTTTTTTGTTTTATTTTTTATATAAAAGAAACTTGGTTCTTTCGTCATTCTTGCATACCACAATTTTTACATTTAATGATATTCAATTGTTTAACTGAATAGCTTTCTCCTTGTTGAGCTATAACGCTTGTTTTTAATTATTTTCAATCAGTAGCTGAATATCCTTTTGTTTTATTTTTTATATAAAAAAACTTGATCCTTCGTTGGTCTTGTTTCTTTGGTTTTTATTCGTTTTCCCCTCGATTTTTTTCAACTTTTCAGATCATCATCATCTTTTGCGATGCGCGAGCGTAGCTTTTTTTCGGTGGAAGAGGATTGCGCGATGTGGCTCTTCGTTTTACAGTTAGTTTTTCTGTTTTAGTTAGTTGAAAATTTCTACGAATCTAATGCTTGTCTTTACGTGATTTTTTTCGAAATTTGTTGTAAAACAGCCTAAACTAATTTAAAACGAGGAAAACGGGGTGCTATAGCAGTTTCTATAACATTTTTCTCGCCAAATGAGCTTTTCTTTGGTACTTTGGTGGTTGGGAGGGACCACTTTTATCCTGGCTTCGTTGGATCTAATATTTTATGGTTTTATGGTTTTAAGGTTTTAAGTGGGGTTTTATTGATACCTTTTATATACAGTGGTCCACAAATGTATTGTCCCATTGCCATCCAAAAGTTTCTTTCGTATGAAAATCTTGCAAAATAACGATATTCCCAAAAAGTGTAGGGTATTTTGCTTACCCATAATACTCTACTTTTCAGGATTATAAGATTTATCCGTATACATTGCAGAAAAATTTAAGTATAAAACAAAAACAATAAGTTACTTAACAAATAGCTCCACAAAAGTAATGTCCCATTGATGTTTTCCTTGATTACTCTTTTTATTTCCGCGTTCTATGAACATTAAATGTATTTTATTTTATTATTTAGATGGCTGGCAAGAAAAACCTTGACACTCCGAATCGCCAAGGCCCGGGAAAATGGGATGCGGGGAAAGGATGTGGCCAACCTCTTTAATTGCTCGAGAAGGACGGTGTGCCGCATTCTTTCTCAATCAAAAGTCGACCGAAACCTTCATCGAGGCCTCAAGAGTGGCCGACGACCAATCACAACCACAAAAGAAGATCGAGCCGTGATCCAAATGGTGAAAAACGATCCTAACAAAACACCAACCGATGGAAGCCAAATGATGAGGGATCAATTTAACAGGGTTGTATCGCCGGAAACGATCAGATGACGATTAAATCAAGCTGGATTATATGCAAGAAGGGCTGCCCGTAAATCTCTGATAAAATCTAAGCACCGGAAGCAGCGCCTTGACTTTGCACGGACCTACCGAAGTTGGACGACACGTCTTTAGGCGAAAGTGCTATTTACCGATGAGACAAAAATTAATTTATTTCACGCGGATGGAAACCATCTTATTCGGCGACCGACTGGAAAGCGATACGCACTCAAGTACATTCGGCCTACCGTGAAATTCAACGGTGGAAACATAATGTGTTGGGGTAAGAACCTTTTTAGTATTTTGTCACCTGACTGTTTTTCTTTAGGAGCGATGTCACGAACTTCAGTAGGTCCATTAGTTCACGTCAACTCAACGATGGATGCTGTGGCCTACAAGAACATTATGGAGACTCAAATGCTTCCTTTTGCAACTCAAACCATGCCTCCTGGATGGATGCTCTACCAGGACAACGACCCGAAACACAAGTCGAGACTGATGATGGGACGGCTGGTGACACTTCAAAATGGTACCAGAGCTCGTCTGCCCGGATGGTTTGCGGCAAATCGTGTTAAATTGATCAATCCACCTCCCTACTCACCGGATCTCAATCCAATTGAACATTTGTGGTCATTTGTGAAGTCGCGCCTCAAGGGAAAGAAATTCGATTCGAAGGCCGCCTTATGGGTTCACATTCAACGTCTTTGGGCCACCATCCGCCCAAGTCTTTTGAAAAATCTCGTGGATTCCATGCCGGATCGACTCAATGAAGCGATAAAAGCAAAAGGAGGACCAGGCAAATATCAATTTTTTGAAAAAATTGTTAATTCTTTGCAAATGGGACATTACTTTTGTGGAGCTATTTGTTAAGTAACTTATTGTTTTTGTTTTATACTTAAATTTTTCTGCAATGTATACGGATAAATCTTATAATCCTGAAAAGTAGAGTATTATGGGTAAGCAAAATACCCTACACTTTTTGGGAATATCGTTATTTTGCAAGATTTTCATACGAAAGAAACTTTTGGATGGCAATGGGACAATACATTTGTGGACCACTGTATTCTAGGGCAATCAAATATGCTTAGTAGATTGGTGACTATTTTAGCAAGTTTTTGGCAGTTTCTAGCAAGTTTCTAGCCTAATCTCATGTACTTTAACCACCAAACGCTACCTCAAAGCTGCTTACACTTGAAAATCAAATAAAAACGGCAATATTTAAACTTGTTGTAAATGCTGTAAATGCTCTAAAATGTTGTAAATGTTCTAAAAGTACAAGCATATTTGATTACTCTAGAATAGGTAGATAAAAAGTGTCAATAAAACCACTCAAAACATTAGATCTAACTAGTCCAACTATTAGATCCAACTAATCCAACTATTAGATCCAACTAAGGGATAAAAGTGGCCCCTCTCAGCCACCAAAGTACCGATTTTTTGGCAGCCAGGGGTTTTTGACTATGCTGAATCGATTGGTGATGGTTTCACATAATATTTCACAGCTTTTAGCAACGTTTACGTTTTGGCCACTTCATCCCAGAATAAGTACATTAGGTTTTCAATAAATTTGTTATAAAAGTCGTTAAAAGTTGTGAAATCATCATCACCAATCATGTGAAATTGTGTGAAATCATCACCAATCGATTCAGCATAGTCAAAAACCCCTTCCTGCAAAAAATCAGCTCATTTGGCAGCTCAAACAGCTCAAATTTTTGCCACTCCCAATCCCGAAAATGGAATCTAATTTTGCCATGATGTGAAAGTGTTCGGCAAACTTGTTGAACTTAGAAAAACCTCCTAATTCTATTATTTTAGTAATCTTCGCAATCGTCAATGGTTGGACCAAAAACTTAAAGGATTTGAGTACTGGAAGCTCTACATTGCCGAGAAGAAAAGCAAGCGAACTTCTCAGTCTTTGAACACCAGGTATATTTGCATTTTTTACAAGTATCATCCAGTTCTTTTGCAAGAAAAATCTCCGAGTAACGATATTTTCAAAAATTCCCTTACCGTTAGTTTACCGGATGCTTTGGTGGTTGGAAGGGGCCACTTTTGGCTTGGTTTTGTCGAATCTAGTGTTTTGAGCGGGTGTCGATGCGAGAGTGTCGATACTTTTCTTCTATTCTGGGATAATTAAATGGGCTGCAGCGATTGGTGATAGTTCTAAAGTCTTTTCAACATGTTTCCAGTTATTATTGCAGCTTTCCAAGTGTACCTTTAAGATAACGTTAGGTGGTTAAGGTACAGTCTAAGGTAGTCAGTCAGCAGTCTAGAGCACGGCAAATCATCGAATAGGATTATCAAAAATGTAGCACCAATCGCACCAATAAGTTAGCACCAATCGCTTCAGCATATATCTTTCTTTAGAATAGAAGAAAAGAATCGATAAGAACCGCTCAAAACACTAGATTTGACAAGGCAAGCTAAAAGTGGCCTCTCCCAATTACCAAACTACCGTTTCGTTATCGTTATTATCGTTCGGAAACAGTAAATAGAGCTTTGCGTCAGCTTTTGCACGCGCTTAGTGACTCGTTTTAAACTTTAAAACGTTGTAAACTTTAAAACGTTGTAAAATTTAAAACGTTGGAAACTTTAAAACATTGTAAAATGAAAGCTTTTAGCTTTGCCACGCCTAGACACTACTATGGCTGCTACCTAAAATCTTTAAAATATTAGGTTGATGCGTAAGTGTTTTTGTTCCTTTTCGTCTGCCGTTTCAAGCCAACAAATGCACCAATTAAACTACGGTTGATTTCATTAGAAAAACCAATTATTTTTCTGCAAAATAACATTAAAACGGGTTTAAAAATATTTTATGCCTGGATTTTCTTGAGAGTATGAAGTCGGGTAGTCAAAAAGGGCTAACTCGATGATGCGGTTTAGACACCTTAGCTAAAGAAAACCTATCTTCGTGTCAATAGATAAAAGATAGAAAAAAAGTTTGATATTTCGCCAAAATTTCAGAGAAATTCATTCAGCCAATTTTTCCGTAGAGTTTTTTATAGATTTTTACGAAAAAGGCGTTTTTCACTCTCGAATTTGCTTGAAAGTGAACCGAAATTGATTTAAAAAGATGGAAATTGAACAAAAAAACACTTTTTTTATAGAGCAAACTATAGATTAATTGGTGAATTTGTTACTTTTTTAACAGAAGTACGAAAAAACGAAATGACTTATGCATCAACCTATTAAATTAATATTATTCAATTTTTTAGGTATCGCCGCATCGAGAAAGACCTCTATCAATATCCATTGGCGAAAGAAGATCTACTTTTTCTCTACAAAAAGCTAATGATCCAGATGGATCCTGTGCATGTCAAACCGGCGTGAGTTTTAAAATTAAGAATCAAATTAGATGCTAGTGACTCAGTTTAAAGTCTTTCTAGAATTCTATAGAAATATAGAAAAAAGCTAGAATTCTATAGAAATATAGAAAAAAAAGCTAGAATTCTAAAAGAGTCTCATTTTGTTAAGCTTTTATACGCTTTTCAGGCTCGAGGAGAAATTCAATTGCACGATCAACTTGCGCAATCGCAATTGGACGGTCCGAAGCTACGAGTTTGCTGGTAAAACTTGATTATTTAGATTTTTTTAAATAGAAGTATTTGATATTTGTATTTACCCACGAAAATTATTGATATTTTTATTTAGAAGTAAACAAAGATGAAGAAACGCCGGCACCAAAATCAAAGAATCTGAACGTAACTCGCGTAAGTTCATTGATTTGTTGATCCCTAATGATCTATTTTTAGAGAATCCCTACGCAAGCAGCATCTGCAACAGTTGAGGAAGAAGGCGAAGCAGACGAGCACTCATTCGATCTCACTGGTGAGTGGAAAGTTATCTTGACTTGTTTAGAATAAGTTTAGCATAGCAGAAGCTGTTCTTGACGGTCTCATTATAAAAAAAGTAGATCAAATTTTGACTCATTCAGGCGAATTCGATGACTTCATGCGTCGACACGGTCGTCGAAAATCGAAAACGCGAGAAGAACTGCATAATTACCACGCTGAGTTGAAGCAAAAAAGTTTGTCAATTGGTTTTAGCGAAAATTATACTTGTTTAGGCATTCCGCTCACAAAAATCGTCACCAACTTCAAGAAATTACCCGACAATTACCCCCTCGATGCAATTGACGCCTCTTCGAACGCAGGAAATTTGAAAGTTAGCGCTTTTTGGGGATTACTTGAGAAAAATTGTTTCAGAGACCTTTTGAGCAAGCGGGTGACGAAAACGAGACGAACGATAGGTAAAATTGTCTATTTTTCATTCATTTCTTGATTTTAGCTCGCCAAACAAGATTGGGGCGCAAGAAGGAATTATGCGAACGTTTTATCCAAGCCAGGTTGGTATAATTCTTAATTAACTGGCAAAATTGATTCGGAAATGATTGGAAACCCAAAATTTACTTGTTTCGGTTATTTCCCAGCCATATTGGTCAAATTATCATTCTAGCCTTTAATTTTTTATTTTAGTACACTGAACTTGACAAGAAAGCGCAAATGCCGAAGCATAGAATGGTGAGTCTTTGAGATTAAATCGTTTACTATTACAAAATATAATTATCTAAAGTGGTTTTAGGCTAGTCCCAGATCGGGGAACATGTCGCCGATGAAGTTTGATCAACAGGTGATAGTTTCAGATAAAGTCTAGCAAAAATTTCTTTGTTTAGGTTGATTTTGAAACCGGGTCTCGGTCACGAATCGTTGACAAACAAGATGAGAGAATGACTTTTGAGGTAGGATTTGTTGGGTTGGGTTGATTGATTTTTAATTTCCTTTAGCAAATCCAAGCTCGCACCCGGAAACAGCTGACCGAAATTCTACATAGTGATCAAGTGCTCATCGAGTTGTTCATGAAGAAAATGGCAAGCGCGCGGAACGAGGTCAGCGCTAGGCGATGTTTACGTATGAAAATCTTTGTTTAGAATGATTATCTGAAGAAAGCGTTACGTCTTACACGATCCCTGCGTCGTCCCGTTGTCCAGATGAATTTCAATCGTCAGAAAGTGCCCGAGGTGGACATTGCCCAAATCGTCGATCTCAACATTGCGCCGGTGCTGAGCGGTTTCGAGAAGGTTTGTTTAATGCTCTAACCATAAAAGCTGAAATTTCTTGTAGTCGAATTCTAAAGAAATACGTAACTATTTTATTACTGTTATTTGAAATAAGAATTGTATTTTCTTTTTTGAACTGAATTACTTCCAGGAGTGGCACGCAAGTTTCTCGAGGGGACTCGAGCGATACGAAGCGATCTCGCAACTCTGGAATCGAGTGTGGAAACAAAGTGGGAAAAGGATTGCGTTCAAGTAAGCGATTTTTGTGAAAGCTTTGCTATAGATTGCCTTAATCATCACAAAGTACAGCTGGACTGTACCTTAAAATTGAAAGTTCAACCCTTGATACACTTAATACTGTATGAAATAGTACGTAAAGATTACTTTATACGCATTTAGGCTGCGTTTAATCGAAAGTTTATTGCTACTTAGTGAAAACCTTTGTTTTTTTTAGAGATGCTTTGTGGAAAGACGTGCGCTCGGTCGAACAGAAAGCCTTCTCTTTTTCAAAAGATGAGGTTTGATTTTGAAAGTTTACATGGTACAAGTGACCCTGCTGGGCGCGAGATTTAGGCAAATCGGCAATACTTTTTGATTAGAATGAATTGAGATCAAAGTTTGCATTTAAACATTTGATGTTGTGTTGAAAAGCTACACTGGTGGTCATATGTATTAGTACCCTCTTGCCAAAAATCTTCTCTTAACGATTGCCCCCCTTAAAACGCTGCCAAATTCAAAGTGCTAAAAAGCATTTTTTGCTAACAAGCTCTAGTCTCTAAAACCACAAAAAAAATTGATTCGAAATGTTTATTATCTTTTTAAAAAATAGCAAGGACGGAAAAGACACCTCAAAAATGGTGGACAAAAGTATTGACACCTTAGCTTTTCCTTTATTTTTTTCTTGTTTACATTCATGTTTTGATGACTTTCTAAAATATTTAATTTTAGATGCCGTATCTACTGACTCCAATCAAAGAAAAGATCGTTGAAGGTCGAAGAAATGGAATGAAAACAGCAGATTTGGCTGAACAATTTGGATGCAGCGAGAGCACGGTGAAACGACTTTTTAAACAATCAAGATTATCGGTTCTCTACACAGAGCTGCAAAATCTGGTCGACATCCATCAACAACAACTGCCGAGAATCGATCGATCATAGGGGAATTCAAAACGGACCCAAGTCTCACCTCGACCGACAAAAGCCGCCTGTATAAATCACAATTCAGCACAGATATCTCAGCAAGGACCGTGAGGAGGCGACTCATCAAAGCAAAGTTGTACGCTAGACGACCAATAAAGAAGCCACGTATGACTCCTCGGATTAGGAAACTTCGTTTAGCCTTTGCTCGGAGGTACCAAAGTTGGACGAGTGACGATTGGAACCGAGTAATTTTCTCTGATGAGACAAAAGTTAATCTCTATCAGTCGGATGGACCTCCATTGATCAGGCGACCGATTGGAAAGCGGTTATTACTCAAGTACATCAAACCCACGGTTCGAGTTTGGGGGTGGAAATATTATGTGCTGGGGTATGAATTTCTATAGTTTTCTTCGTATAACTGTCAACTTGCAGGAGCGATGACAAGAAATGTGGTCGGTCCACTTGAGATGATCAATTCAACCATGAAGTCTCAGCGATACATGGGAATACTTGAGCAACGTTTACTTCCATTTGCGAGCAAAACATTACCTCAAGGATGGTTGTACTACCAGGACAACTCGCCAGTTCACACAAGCAAACTTATTATGGGACCTGTCGGAAGACTCTCGAATGGAAGACGGGTACGATTTCCGGGCTGGTTTGCGATTAATGGTGTTTCTTTGATTAAAGCATCTCCCTTTTCACCAGATTTGAACGTTATCGAGAATCTATGGTCGATTGTGAAAGCGAAATTGAAGGAGAAACACTTTTCGCCCAAGGCGAGCTTTGGCTCTATCTACGTCTTGTATGGAATCAAATTGGATCATCAGTTTTGCACAATTTGGTCGACTCGATGCCCAGACGGATAGAAAAAGTCATTCAAGCCAAAGGAGGGCCAATAGACTATTAAATTTACTGTTGTTTTTGCAAGGTGTCAATACTTTTGTCCACCATTTTTGAGGTGTCTTTTCCGTCCTTGCTATTTTTTAAAAAGATAATAAACATTTCGAATCAATTTTTTTGTGGTTTTAGAGACTAGAGCTTGTTAGCAAAAAGTGCTTTTTAGCACTTTGAATTTGGCTGCCTTTTAAGAGGGGCAATCGTTGAGAGAAGATTTTTTGCAAGAGGGTACTAATACATATGACCACCAGTGTAGATTTTGTGCCCATCAAAGCCATAAGTAGCGTAAAAATTTAAGCATTTAAGCATTTAATTTAATTTTTTAAATTTTTAATTTAATTCAAGCAATTTAATTTAAGAAGCATACAAAAGCAAAGAAATTTTGTGAAGCTTTTTATTTTATTTCTTTTTTTTTTCCAGAATTCCTACGAGGATCGTCTCACCAACTCGATCGACTCGCTCGTCTCTTCTTTCAACAATTGACTTCTTTCTCTTCTTTCATCATTTTTTGTAAGCTAGTCAATATCCATTTTTATGTTATTTATTTTATAGCTTTTGTACTGTTTTGGTTATCGTTTTCTTTCTCTCGACTGATCTCTGTTCTTCGTTTCTAAATCCTCATTTTATTCGGGTGTTTTTAATGCGTTGATCTTCAGTTTTCGAGTTTTTATCGTCTCGTCTCGTCTTTTTTTTTTCTGTCTCGACTTTTCATGTCAGCTTTTTGATGGATTGAATAAAAGTATCAAACCAAAGATGTTAAGAGCATTTTCTGGGTCCAAGACCAAGGAAATATTAGGGCCGAGTACGTTTTTTGGCAAACTTTCGGCTTACTTACCCAACTGGCGAAATTTCCCCTTTCTCTCACTTTCCTTTCAACCCTTTCGCCCCATTTCAGGGTTATTTCAACCCTCAATGGGTCAAGAAAGGTGAAAGTTCTCCAGAAATCTCAGGAATCTTTCGGGGAAAGAGTCTTTTCTTCCTTTTCTTCCTTTTCTTCCTTTTCTCCCTTTTCTCCCTTTTCTCCCTTTTCTCCCTTTTCTCCCTTTTCTCCCTTTTCTCCCTTTTCCTTTTCTCCCAACCTGTACACTCATCCGGAAGTTTTGTTCTGACTTTGCCTGGGAAATTTTGACGTTTTATGAATCGGCTAAACTAGAAAACCAATACGGTTCCTATTTTGATCTAATACGGTTCCAATACAGTTCCAATACGGTTCCAATACAGTTCCAATACAGTTCCAATACAGTTCCAATACAGTTCCAATACAGTTCCAATACGGTTCCAATACGGTTCCAATACGGTTTTAAGCTTTAAGCAGTTTTTTTGTTTATTTTTGACCAACTTTGACCAACAATTTTTGACCAAATTCTGTTACTTTAATTTTTTTTTTGCTTTTATATCAATTGAATATCTTTTGAATGAAATTTTCGTTTCCGCTTTTGATTTCGTTTTTTTGCATCTTTCTCTTCCTCTTCCTCTTTTCTAGTGATGGTCAAGTGTGAAATGCGGCTAGTTTCCTAGCTTTTGTGTTGTGAGATTTAGTGGTTGAAATTGAGTGTCAAAACAGATGAAAACTGGGGGATTTTCCCTTCGAAAATCCGTCTTCCGGTCAATACAAAAGGTCAAAACTCGTTTCAAAATCATCGAAATTCTCCAAAGAACTCAGAAAAGTAAGCATATTTTTGAGATTTCAATAGGATTTTAATAGAATTTTAATAGAATTTTAATAGAATTTTAATAGGATTTTAATAGGATTTTAATAGAATTTTAATAGAATTTTAATAGAATTTCAATATTCCATTCAATTTCCCTCAAAAACCCCCAGAAATGATACACAAATTTTATCGCTTTTTAATGTCGATTTATCTCTTTCCTTTTCTCGAATCCCGTAAAGATTCGGATACAGTTCCAATATGGTTCGAATATGGTTCCAATACGCTTCCAATACAGCTAATATGGTTCCAATACGGTTCCTTTTAAGGTTCCAATATGGTTCGGATACAGTTCCAATATGGTTCCAATATGGTTTCAATCTGGTTTCGATATGGTTCCAATCTGGTTTCGATATGGTTCGGATATGGTTCCAATATGGTTCTAATATGGTTCCAATATGGTTCCAATATGGTTCCAATATGGTTTCGATATGGTTCGGATACAGTTCCAATATGGTTCCAATATTTTAATAGAATTTTAATAGAATTTGAATATTCCATTCAATTTCCATTCACCTTCCATTCAATTTCCCTCAAAAACCCCCAGAAATGATACACAAATTTTATCGCTTTTTAATGTCGATTTATCTCTTTCCTTTTCCTCAAAATCTCATAAAGGAAAGACCTTCAGATATTTGGCTGTAAAACGAAACATGAGAAATCCCCAAATTGTGCTCATTTTGGAGCACTAAATATTTGGAGATGAATTTCGGTGAAATTTTTATCGAATCTTTGCATTGAGGGCCTTGATCTGAAGATATCAATGAATATCTGAAGATAAAGAGCCTTTTTATCTTATTTAGGGTCTTGTGTGACATCCAGCTTGAGCATATTCGACCTTTTTACTATATATTTTCTTAGAATTATCAGACAAACGGGGTACTGTAGAATTCTACAGTATACCTTCTTCTCTATGGGATAAAGAGCCTTTTTCCCTCATTCAGTTTCTTGTGTGACATCCAGCTTGAGCATATTCGACCTCTTTATTATATATTTTCTTAAGATTATCAGACAAATGGGGTACTGTAGGATTTCTACAGTATGCCTTCTTCTCTATGAGACATAGAGCCTTTTTATCTCATTCAGTGTCTAGTGTGACATCCAGCTTGAGCATATTCGACCTCTTTATTATATATTTTCTTAAGATTATCAGACAAATGGGGTACTGTAGGATTTCTACAGTATGCCTTCTTCTCTATGAGACATAGAGCCTTTTTATCTCATTCAGTGTCTAGTGTGACATCCAGCTTGAGCATATTCGACCTCTTTATTATATATTTTCTTAAGATTATCAGACAAATGGGGTACTGTAGGATTTCTACAGTATACCTTCAATAGAATGCTTTATATCTTAAGTCTAAAGTTCTCAGGGTTCAGCATGACATCCAGCTTGAGCAAATAAAATTCAAAAAATAATCGCTGATTTTTTGAAAGAAATGCAAAATCGATACGATTTAAATTACAGAATTTCAAAATGCCGAAATTTTTATTCTAAAAGAGATTTTGTTTTTTTTTTCTCTGAAAATCCTAATTTAAAACCCTCAGTGCTAATGGTTTGAAAGATTTGAAAAAAATTCGTAAAAAAGGGATATTTGTGCACAAATAGCCGAGCTTTTTTGACCAGAGTCGAGTAAAAAAAAAAGAAAAAAAAAAAGGAAAAAGATTTTTGTGGGTTATGAGTGGCTAGCCTTCCCCAAATCAGAGTACATTTTTGCAAAAAAAAAAAAATTCCCGACTCGAACTCGAACCATCGATCAATTTACTCAGAAACTAACCCCCTATCCACTTGGCCATCAAAATATTAGCGTATTTTGAAGAACTAAATGCTTTGATACCTTTCATGACTTCCAGATCACGAGAAAAACCTTTTCACTAAGCTCAATTTTCTTTCTTTCACCTTTTTTTTCGCGGTGTTTCTTGAATCGGAGTGTTTTCTGGGGTAGAAAAAGGATTTACACTTTAAATTTGAAGTGATTAGTGAAAGCTGGAAGGCACAGAGGAATTCTAGATATTTAGTGATTAGATTTATTCAATAGTTCAAAAGATGGCCGAATGGTTAGTGAGCTTATTTTCGAGTCGGAGGGTCGAAGGTTCGAGTCCGGGTCAGGTCAAAAATTTTTTTTTTTATAAATTTTACTTTTATTAACTGAATATCCTTTAAATTACTATATTAAAGCGTTTTTTTGCGTTTTTTTGAAAATCTCAGCCTTTATTAGTCTGAGATAACGTGAAAATTCGATGCTTTATGCTCTAGGCGATTCTATGGAATGCATGTGATGGATTTGAATGAAAGAGAGAGAGCTAAAGAAGCTAAAGAAGGGAAAGAGCCGCTCGAGGGCGGAAAAGGGATGTGCACTGTTTGAACTGTTTGAGCAAATGTCCATCCAATCGAAAAGGCCGAAAAGGCAAAGAGACTGTCGGGAATATTTGAGTTGGCCTCACATCTATCCCCCCTCAGAGTCTAGTGTGACATCCAGCTTGAGCATATCTGAAATCTTTACTATATGATTTCTTAAGATTATCAGACAAATGGAGTACTGTAGGATTTCTACAGTATGCCTTCAATAGAATGCTTTATATTTTCAACCTGAAGCCCTCAGGGTCTTGTGTGACATCCAGCTTGAGCGTATTCGACCTCTCTATTATATATTTTCTTAGGATTATTCGAGAAATGGGGTACTGTAGGATTTCTACAGTATGCCTTCTTCTATATAAGATATAGAGCCCTTTTATCTTATTTAGGGTCTTGTGTGACATCCAGCTTGAGCATATCTAAAGTCTTTACTATAGATTTTCTTAGAATTATCAGACAAACGGCCTACTGTAGAATTCTACAGTATGCCTCCTTCTCTATGAGACATAGAGCCTTTTTATCTCATTCAGTGTCTAGTGTGACATCCAGCTTGAGCATATTCGACCTCTTTATTATATGTTTTCTTAAGATTATCAGGCAAATGGGGTACTGTAGGATTTCTACAGTATGCCTTCTTCTCTATGAGACATAGAGCCTTTTTCCCTCATTCAGTTTCTTGTGTGACATCCAGCTTAAACAAATCCAATCCAAGAAAATCGATGACTCATCTGGGGTAGCTGATTGTGTGTCAAATGCTTTCCTTGACCATCATAACTCTCGCAGCCTTTCCCCTTTCTTCTTCCCCTTCTTCCCCTTCTTCCCAAATGGCTGAACCCTTTGTCATAAACTCAAAGACTCGTTTTCCAGCTACAAGAGATCTTTCTCTCGTTTTTTTTTTTTGTATAACTATGCTCTTAGATCGGCTTCTTTGATCAAAATTCTTTAGCCTTTCGAAATCTTTTAAATTCTTTTTTTTAGCTTATTTTATTAATGTTTTCAAATGAAATGAAAAATTCAAATTTTTAGATCAACAGGTTTTTTGGGTTTTTTTTGGTGATCAATGCATCGATGAACGAGCGGGGAAAACGGAGGAGAGAGAAATTGAGGTGGGATTTGTGCTTAAACAACTCTACTAGAGTCTAGAGCCATTTTCTAAAAGGCACCTATTTACGAGAACGACCGTAATCGAAAGTACCAATTCTACAGTATGCCTTTCTATAGAATGCTTTAGATTTTCAGCCTGAACCCCTCAAAGTCTAGTGTGATATCCAGCTTGAGAGTATTCGACCTCTCTATTATATATTTTCTTAGGATTTTCAGACAAACGGGGTACTGTAGAATTCCACAGTATGCCTTCTTCTATATAAGATATAGAGCCCTTTTATCTTATTTAGGGTCTAGTGTGACATCCAGCTTGAGCATATTTAACCTCTTTACTGTAGATTTTCTTAGAATTATCAGATAAACGGGGTACTGTAGAATCCTACAGTATGCCTTCAATAGAATGCTTTATATCTTCGGCCTGAAGCCCTCAAAGTTTAGTGTGACATCCAGCTTGAGCATATCTAAAGCCTTTGCTATAGATTTTCTTAGAATTATCAGACATACGGCGTACTGTAGAATTCTATAGTATGCCTTCTATAGAATGCTTTAGATTTTCAGCCTGAGCCCCTCAAGGTCTAGTGTGACATCCAGCTTGAGCATATTCGACCTCCTTATTATAGATTTCCTTAGAATTATCAGACAAACGGGGTACTGTAGAATTCTACAGTATGCCTTCTATAGAATTCTTTATTTCATAAGTCTGAAGCCCTCAGGAACTAGTGTGACATCCAGCCTGAGCAAATGCAATTAAAAAATCGATGACCGATGGTCTGGACTGTTTTAAAGTACCACAGCAATGCCTTTCCAGATGCGCTCCTCGGTGGCAGCTCAGTACACGACATCGTGGGGTCCGGTGAGGATACAGGACGCACAAGCCTACAGAAATGATCCCGATTTCCTTCATCTACAGGTCAGTGTTGATTGTGACCGAGTTTTGACGCCTAGCCGACTCGAACCAGCATCCCTTGGCTGGAAACCAAACACCCTAACCACTACACTATCAAAGTTTATGTAAATTTTGACTTTTTGAATATTCAGACAGGTTCTGTGCGTTCCAGATCGAGGCATGGTGAAGTTGAAAAGCCAAACAAACCAACTCTAGGCTGTCGACAAGCGTGAATTGAGTTCACTGCAAAATAAGCCGAAAAGAAGACAATTGAGCCTAGCCAAGGGGTTATTTCGAAGATCTGGAAGGCACAGAATGTATAGAAAAACTTAGATAACAAAAATAAGCAAAAGGGGTCAAAGTGACTTTACCAATCTAAGGGTCCTGGTTCGAGTCCGGTCGGCGGCAAAATTTTTTTTTACTTTTTTTATTTCGCATTTTTCGTGCCTCTAATGGTTATGTGCGTTCCAATTCTCGGGTTTTAATAAAAAACCCCCCAACTAGATGGGGATTTGGCTGAAAAAGACGATTGAAAAGTGATCCATCCCTCCGCGTACACACAAACAAGACAAATATAAATCTATTAGATGTCCCTGCGCCTTTTTCCTCGCATCCGATTGTCAAATGTTTGATTTGTCTCATCTTAGTGAGTGAAAGAGAGAAAAATTCCTTTTTTTCTCGCATTTGAAAGGTGTGAATCTCAGTGAATGCACCGGGAAACGAACCCTTTCGGACTTTAGTTCCGATTTGTGATTTTTCGTTTTTTTTTTTTCGACCCATGGGCACCTATTATTTCTACGATCACCCATATCCGCTACTAATTTATGAGGTTTGTCATGGAAAATTGCCATTTTCAACCGAATTTCTGGAATCAGCGTACTTGAAAAGCTCTAAACGACATATTACAAAGGGGTATTTGGGTGAAATTTTGGAAGCTATGACTTTGATACAGGACTGGATCTTTTTCTCGACTCTAGATAAAGGAAACTTTTTGATCTTTTGGCTATACCTTAGTTGGATGTCAGCTTAGAATTTAGGATGAAGAAATTTTTGATATGGATAGTTTTTGAGAAGGCACTTTTAGTCAATTACAGGACTGGATCTTTTTCTCGGTGCTAGTTAGAGGGAACTTTTTGATCTTTTGGCTATACCTTAGTTGGATGTCAGATTAAAATTTGGCAGAGACAAATTTTTGATATGGCTAATTTTAGAGAAGGCACTTTTAGTCGGTTACAGGATTGGCTATTTTTCTCATTTCTAGATAGAGAAAACTTTTTTGATCTTTTGGCTATACCTTAGTTGGATGTCAGCTTAAAATCTGGTAAAGCCAAATTTTTGATATGGATAATTTTCGAGAAGGCACTTTTAGTCAACTACAGGACTATCTCGTACTTGAAAAGTGTCTGCCACAATTTTGCAGCTATCATCTCCGTGCTTGGTGTCGTTTAAGGCTTATCGACCATGGAGAGCTCGAAAACTTAGTTATTTAAATAGATTTACTAGCGGGTTTTAGTCGGTTACAGGACTGGTTCTTTTTCTAGGTTCTAGATAAAGAAAATCTTTTGATCTTTTGGCTATACCTTAGTTGGATATCAGCTTAAAATTTGGCAAAGACAAATTTTTGACTGGGCGACATTTTCAGACCACCCAACAGCTCCAGCAAAACAAGACTTGTCTCCTCTCCCCAGTTTCTCAAAAATTTACACAACCGCTCATCCCGACTTTTTCTAACCCTCGAGTGTGTCCCATGTTTACGCGCCAAAAGATCAGCTTGCCCAAATTTGGTGAACGAGCCGAACCAGCGAGGTGTGAACACGTTGCTTCCGTTTCCCCCTGTTAATCTCTACCTAAACAATTTCTTTTTGCAATTTGTGAGCAATCTGGAACGCACACGAATTGCTAGTGCAGCTGGAATTCGTTTTTTCGTGAACTTTCGACTCCTCGAAATTGAAGTTCTCCGCTCGCTTTTCTGAAACAAAAGCGCCGACGATTGAATGGAACCATTGTCGGAAAAGTGAATCCTGGAGGTCACACCGCGGTTTTTCGGTGGAGAAAACGCGCTGGAAAACAATAGTTGCAAATTCACTTTTGTCCAGCGCTCGACTCCTTCGGTCAACTCCAAGAAAATTTTTTCTTGGACTTTCCCATTCTTCACTTTTCCCCAATCACTCCAGTGACATCCAGGATCAACGAATTCGTTAAAAATTCTATCCAACTGCGTGGATATTTTCTATATATATACCAAGCTACCGTATCTGATCCAATAAAAAGCGGAATTTGCGAATAACTCGTCATTCCTTTTTCCCAATCACCCCAGTGACATCCAGGATTGCTAAATTCGCTAAAAATTCTATTCCATTGCGTAGATATTTTCTATATCTTTACCAAGCTACCGTACTCTGGTCCTACTGTAGGAAATTTGCGAATAACCAGCCATTCCTTTTTCCCAGTCACTCCAGTGACATCCAGGATTGCTAAATTCGCTAAAAATTCTATTCCATTGTGTGAATATTTTCTATATATATACCAAGCTACCGTATTCTTCAGTAAAAAACGAGATTTGTGAATAACTCGTCATTCCTTTTTCCTAATCACTCCAGTGACGTCCAGGATTGCTAAATTCGCTAAAAATTTGATCTCATTGCGTAGATATTTTCTATATATATACCAAGCTACCGTATCTGATCAAATAAAAGCGGAATTTGTGAATAGTCCGCCATTCCTTTTTCCCAATCACTCTAGTGACGTCCAGAATTGCCAAATCGCCTAAAATTTCCTATCTATCATGGTGAAATATTATGGTTACTGGGCTCCGTCACCCGATCCGATTTACAAATTTCAACCTTTCGTCGAGGATTACGAGGAAACCGATGATGAAGACTATTGGCTTTTCGCGCTTGTAAGTTAAGAATGAATTTTGAGAAGCAGATCGTTTTCAGGGTGGCTTTAGACGTAAAATAGATTACGGTAGTTTTCAGTGCTACCATAAACCCAATTGTTGAAATTTTTTTTAAACCGCTACCAACCCGTTCTTTACATTTATTTAGCTTATGTGACATCCAGGATTGCCGAAAGTTGTCGAAAAAATTAGCTAGTAATAGATTACGGTATCTCTAAGCGTCCAGCTACCATTCACCCTATTGTCAAAATTAAAAAATCGCTACCGACTTGTTCTTTTCAGCTTTTTAGCTTAAGTGACATCCAGGATTGTCAAAAATTGTCGAAAAATTATATTAAAAGTAGATTACGGTAGCTTTAAGCGTCCAGCTACCATTCACCATATTGTCAAAATTTAAAACTCGCGACCTAGTCATTCTTTTCAGCTTTTTAGCTTGAGTGACATCCAGGATTGTCAAAAATTATCGAGAAATTATCTAAGCATAGATTACGGTAGCTTTAAGCCCCCAGCTACCATTCACCCCACTGACAAAATTTTAAAATTACTAACTAGTCATTCTTTTCATCTATTTAGCTTAGGTGACATCCAGGATCGTGAAAAATTATCGAAAAAATTAGCTAGTAATAGATTACGGTAGCTTTAAGTGTCCAGCTACCATTCACCATATTGTCAAAATTTAAAAAGCACTACTTAGTCGTTCTTTTGAGCTTTTTAGCTTATGTGATATCCAGAATTGGGAAAAATTTGGCGGAAAACTTTTGAAATTAAGTTTAAAAGCAAAAATCCCCACCATAAAGCGATTGGCGGAGGGAAAGAGCCGTTTTATGTAAGGAAAGATTGATAGAATTCGATTCTATGCAAAGAAAGGGTTTCAAGCTTTCCCTCGAATCATTCACAGGTTTCAGACTCGCAGGCTTTCAGGGTTTCAGGCCTGGAAAAGAGAGCGCGGTCCTGTACAGCCTGGGGGTACCTTTTCCCCGATGGACTCGAGAGGGCAAACATTCCCCAATTCCCATTCACCCCCTTCCCGACGATTCCTTTCAGTTCTTCCTTTCAGTCTCACCCCCAGAATTGTCGATTGTCAATTGCGGCTTTTGTCGGCTGTCTTTTTGCTCTTTTTTTCTCATTTTGCTATTTCTCTTTGCGCAATCTTTTTCTCTTCGCTTACAAAAATCAATTCACTACAACAGATCTTTCTTTTAACTTTATTGCATTGTTTATCACCGCCCTGGAGCTGAACTAGTGCTAGATCAAACATTTAATCACATCAGATGACTTTTTGAAAAAATTTGATCTTATCGGCTAAGCTGACATCCAACTAAGGTATAGCCAAAAGAACAAAAGATTTTCTTTATCTAGAACCGAGAAAAATAGCCAGTCCTGTAACCGACTAAAAATGCCTTCTCGAAAATTAGCCATATCAAAAATTTGTCTTTACCAAATTTTAAACTGACATCCAACTAAGGTATAGCCAAAAGATCAAAAGATTTTCTTTATCTAGAACCTAGAAAAAGAACCAGTCCTGTAACCGACTAAAACCCGCTAGTAAATCTATTTAAATAACTAAGTTTTCGAGCTCTCCATGGTCGATAAGCCTTAAACGACACCAAGCACGGAGATGATAGCTGAAAAATTGTGGCAGGCACTTTTTAAGTACGAGATAGTACTGTAATTGACTAAAAGTGCCTTCTCGAAAATTTGTGATATCAAAAATTTGATCACAGCAATTTCTAAGCTGACATCCAACTAAGGTATAGCCAAAAGATCAAAAAGCTTCCTTTATCCAGAGATGAGAAAAAGAGCCAGTCCTGTAACCGACTAAAAATGCCTTCTCGAAAATTAGCCATATCAAAAATTTGTTTCTGCCAAATTTTAATGCTCTGATTTTGTGAAATCTCTGAATATCTAGGGTCCTCACACATCGCAGGGCCCTTCCACTGGCCATCCCCCATTGCTCGGCCCTCCGCGGGGCGCCGCCTACTTCATGGGGTGAGTTTATGCAAGAATTTTTGAAGGAAAAAGTTCTCTAAATTGCATAGAGCCTCAATCTGGAAGTCACGCTATTAGTCAAAAAAGTTTTCAGAGTGATTTAAAAAAAAAAATTTTTTTAAATTAGCATTAAGAAATTAGCATTTAAAAAATTTGTATTAAAGAATTTGTATTAAAAAAATTAACATGTAAAGATTTAGATTTTAAAAAATTAGCATTAAAAAATTAGCATTCAAAAGATTAGCATTTAAAAATTAGCATTTTAAAAAATTAGTATTAAAAAAATTAGCATTTTAAAAATTAGCATTTAAAAATTAGCATTAAAAAATTAGCATTTAAAAAATTAGCATGTAAAAATTTAGATTTAAAAAAATTTGCATTTAAAAATTTGCATGTAAAAATTTGCATTTTAAAAATTTGCATGGATAAACTTGGAATGTCTAGATAATGTCTATAAATGCTAATTTTTTGAGATTCTAACTATTTCCTAATATTTTCTAGCTACACACACGAACCGTACGGGCAGCATGCTTACGTGGAGCAAATGTCGGCTGGTGGCTCGAATGGGGATGGGCAAACGGCGATCGGCGGCTATTTCAACCAGCAGCAATATCAATATGCCTACCACGGAGCACAGTATTACCCCGGGTAATCGATTTGGATAACGTTTTCCCGGAGAAAATCCCCCAGTCCTGTAACTTGGGTGCGGTACTTTGTGCGCCACGTAAACGCACCCTCTCTAGTGCACTAAATATCATTGTGCCTGCCAGGAAGCACAGTATTACCCAGAATAATCGATTTGGATAACGTTTTCCCGGAGAAAATCCCCCAGTCCTGTAACTTGGGTGCGGTACTTTGTGCGCCACGTAAACACACCCTCTCTAGTGCACTGGATATCACGGTGCCTGCCAGGAAGCACAGTATTTCCCCGGGTAATCGATTTGGATAACGTTTTCCCGGAGAAAATCCCCCAGTCCTGTAACTTGGGTGCGGTACTTTGTGCGCCACGTAAACGCATCCTCTCTAGTGCACTGGATATCACTGTGCCTGTCAGGAAGCACAGTATTCCATAAAATAATCGATTTGGATAACGTTTTCCCGGAGAAAATCCCCCAGTCCCGTAACTCAATTGGTGTACTTTGTGCTGACTTTTTGCGCCACGTAAACACACCCTCTCTAGTGCACTAAATATCATTGTGCCTGCCAGGAAGCACAGTATTGCCCAGAATAATCGATTTGGATAAAGTTTTCCCGGAAAAAATCCCCCAGCCCTGTAAATGAAGTCCTGTACTTTGTGCGCCGTGTAAACGCGTTTTCTCTAGTGCATTGGATTCGAGTTTTTTCTCCTTTTAGGGTGTCAGCAAAGCGTTCTCTTTGAGAAAATGAGGAACCCAGTGCGCCAGAGGGTTTGCGTTTTCAGAGCACAAAGTACAGCGCCTGGAAAGTCTCCCCAGGTCCACCCTGACATTTGCATATCGAAATTTGCATATTATAAAGCACACAATGGGTGAGAAATCACAGTAATCCAGCACAATTTCAAAAAGGGTTTTTTTGGATTTTTTTGCACAATTTTAACCGCCGTACTTGGCTTATAACCCTGCACAAAGAGGTGATGTTAAAATCGATTTTTTAAAAATCTAATTAATAACAAATCTTACATGATATCCAACTAAGAAGAATTCAAAGTTTCATCAAAATTTGTCTAGCCAGAAAAAAGTTATAATGGTGAACAGGTTTCTAGGCTATTTCTAGGCTATCCGTCCACTAAAAAAAAATGAAACTTTGCCTTTTTCTTAGTTGGATATCATGTAAAAATTGGAATTGATTAGATTTTTCAAAAATCGATTTTAGACTCGTTGGGTAAGGAGTAGTGAAAAGATTGGGCGTTTTTTCGCTGTAGGTTTGAAGCTTTTGAGAAAATTCTTTGAAAATTGAGTGATCTGGGAGGCAACTTAGAGTCCTAGGTGGTTTATTCGGAGCAATTCTGGTATTCTTGGACCCTAGAGCTGGCCCTGGACCATGGAACTCTGACTCTAAGGCCCCTGGAGCCCTCAGCTTCTAGAGCTCTGGCTCTAAGGCCCCTGGAGCTCTCAGCTTCTGGATCTAGTGATCTTGAGGCTCTGAGACTCTAGAATCTGGAATCCTTAGATCCTAGGGCTAACTGTGGACTCTAGAGCCTTGTCACTCGTATTTTGAACCCTAAGTAAGTCGAGAGTACTGTAGCGGACAGCTAGCTAGCTAACTATGGCAACCAAGCCTGACCAGAAGCCAAACAGGCTTTTCAACGCTTTTTCTTGCTCTATAAATAGCCTACTTTTCAGCTACAGTTACACGCCGTATGGAGGCCCGTCAGCAACAGCTCAGCAACAGAGCGGTGGAGCGACGATCGGTGGTGCTTATGCCGCATACCCATCACAATCCACCGCCTATCGACCCTACCCTCAGCCATCGCCTCCAAATCGGAGATCAAGGTAAGGGTATACAAATTTTTTGATAGTTTTTCTCCGATCTGGAACGCACACAGCATTTTTAGCCTATTAGGACTATCTGTAAGCACAAAGTACGCAAGCACATCACCGAGAAACAGGACTGGGTGAATTTTTTGAGGAAAATGAGTAGGATATCGAATCTTTTGATGATTTTTCTCCGATCTGGAACGCACAGAACATTTTTGGCTATTTAGAACTATAAAAAGCTTAAAAATCGACACCGTATATAGTACTCTGGTGTACTTTGTGCTTTCTAGTAAACGCGCACTTTCTGGCACACAGAAACGCCCGTTTTCTTGGCGACAAGAGATCTACATTTTACAAGATTCTACAAGAAATCGAAGAATTCCGTGCGCCAGAGGGTGCTCGTCTACCTGTAAGCACAAAGTACGCTCAAAGTGCACCAAGAAGAACAGGGCTGGGTGAATTTTTTGAGGAAAATGAGTAGGATATCGAATCTTTTGGTGATTTTTCTCCGATCTGGAACGCACCCAACATTTTTGGCTATTTAGAATTACCTGTAAGCATAAAGTACTCAAGCACACCACTGAGAAACAGGACTGGGTGAATTTTTTGAGAAAAATCAGCAGGATATAGAATTTTTTGATGATTTTCCCCCAATCTGGAACGCATTCGACAGAACTAGAATAAAAGATCATTTTCTAGCCAAATTTTCAGGACGGCTCCGGCGAGGAACCGGCCCACAGCTCCGCCACCCCCTTTGCCCACCTATCCGACAATGCAACGAACGATGAAGCCACGGGGATACAGGTACAGTCGTTTAGAGTCGTTTTAGACGTAAATTAAGTCATTTACAGTTGTTTACAGTCGTAGACGTCAATTTTCAGTGCTGATCCATTGGAGAGAAGTCGATTTGCGTATTCGGGTCCTTTTAAAAGACCGCAACCGTTGTATAGGAAAAGGAGAGATCCCAGAGGTGGAGGATATTTTCAGGTAAACAAATTTTAATATTTGGCATGTTGAGGAGTCGAACCCGAGCAAAAAAGGGGTTGGTGGATTTGTATCCAAGCGACTTATCCACTAGGCCACCAGGTCATCTGGAGACCCCTCGAGAAAAGGCTTTTAAGCGAGCTGGGGGGTTTTCTATTGAGCTGGAGGGTTCCTTTTGATCCAGAGAGCCATCTCTAGAGCTCTAGAAGCTCTGATCTCTTGTAGTCAAGCCCCTGTAGGCCTTAGAAACCTGACTCTGAGAAAATAAGCTTCCAAAGTAACCTAGAAACAAATCAGACGATCAAGAATGAATTCAGGAAACCGATTTCGGCGCCGGTGCCCCGATCGACTATGGGATGGGCTTTCAGCGCCCTGTTTACCCGGTAAACTCTATTTTTCTACGAAACTAGAGCCGATTCAGCCTTACCTCGAGCAAGGTGTGCCAACGACAATGCGACGGATACGACCCTACTATGCCCCGTCCTACACAACGTATCCCCCATCGACAATGCATCGGTGAGTTGAATGGGATCAAAATGACCACTTGGAGTTTTCCATCTGGAACGCACACAACCTTTTTAGCCTATTAGAACTACCTGTAAGCACAAAATACGCAAGCACATCACCGAGAAACAGGGCTGGGTGTATTTTTTGAGGAAAATGAGTAGGCTATCGAATTTTTTGATGATTTTCCCTCAATCTGGAACGCACACAACATTTTTGGCTATTTAGAACTATAAAAAGCATAAAAATCGATATCGTATATAGTACTCTGGTGTACTTTGCGCTTCCTAGTAAACGCGCGTTTTCTGGCACACGGAAATCCTCGTTTTTTTGGCGACAAGAAATCTACATTTTGCAAGATTCTACAAGAAATCGAAGAGTCCCGTACGCCAGAGGGTGCCCGTTTACCTGTAAGCACAAAGAACGCTCAAAGTACATCAAGAAGAACAGGACTGGGTGTATTTTTTGAGGAAAATGAGTAGAATATCGAATTTTTTGATGATTTTTCTCCGATCTGGAAGTCATTGGACTATTTGCAGGCCAAAGCGGAAGCACAAACCCGAGAAATATCCGATCATCTTTCGCGCGGTGCTGAAAGCGGCGCAATTGGTGAGTGAAAGAGCGAATTTAATCGAAACATCTAGAACAAAGCCTTGTTTATTTCCATCTTTCTATTTAGATAATCGGTGCTGCAATTCTTGGCTTGGTGCTGTCACCAATGCGGACGAGTCCCGGTTTTCATGCGTTTGTTGTAAGGACAAAAACAGAATGGCAGGTTCGGGAAAAAGCTAGGCTTGATTTCCGTGTTTTGATGAAAGAATTGGTCAAGCTGGAGGTCACAGTAGCTGCTGAAATAAAAAGAAACCGGAGTAGATGGCAAGGTCGCCAAAGGATAAACTAGGCAAGGCCGACAAAGGTGGAATCTCAAAACCTTCCTACTCAAATTCTATTACAGTACGATTATAGCCTGACATCCAGCTTGGCCAATAGCTTCATCCATTTTCCTCTAGCTCTTCTCTATCTCTTTATTTTTACTCGATCTCATTTCGACCTCAAAAAATGCCGAATTTCGTGTCATTTTCAATCATTTTCTATCATTTTCCATTCTTTCGCTTTTCAGGGAGCCGTCGTCGGCATCACGGCCACATTTTCGATTCTAACGCTAACGCTTTTGGCGACGAGTTTCTGTCTAGCGCACAAGGTGGCCGCGTGGAGGAGATTTGTGAGTTTAAAAGAAACTCGTGAAACTAGATGCCTTAAAAGCTCGTGTGACATCCAGCTTGAGGGATGAGCACGAGCTTGAGTGCTGAGCATGAGCAGCAAGCGATCCGCTCACCCAAACTCTTTTCAGGATGCGTTGATCTCGATGGCGGCGGCTTTCTGCTACCTTGTCGCCGGCTTCATTGAGGCGTATTTTGCGGCCTGCTATCCGCCGGACGGGAAGAATCTAAATCTCGTCTGTCATCGACCGGAATGGATTATTGCGACGGTGAGTTTAGCCTGGTAGCAGGATTAGACAAAATCCCATATCGCTGATTTCGTTTCTTTTTCGTATTGTGCATTCGATGTGCATCCCAGATCGACCAAATTTCAGCGAAATAACTGAATATCTTTAAAATGATAGGAGAAAAGCAGCCATTCTCAATCCACGGATATCATTTGACCACTGAATGACCTCTTCGGTCTCTTTCCACTCCAGCAGCTACAGTGACCTCCAGCTTGGCCATTTATCAACAATTAATTGAATATCTTTAAGATCTGTAAGAGAAAAGCAGCCATTCTCAATTCTCATGTTTTTCTCCCATGGAACTTAAAGATATTCAATTAATCAATGATAAATGGTCAAGCTGGAAGGCACACAACATTTTTAGATAGATAAAAAGATATTCAGCGGTCAAATGATCCACATGATATCCGTGGATTGAGAATGGTTACTTTTCTCCCATCAATTTTAAGATATTCAGTTATTTCGCTGAAATTCATTCGATCTGGAACGCACATCGAATGCACAATACGAAAAAGAAACGAAATCAGTCAAATTCCTCTAACTGGTCCTTAGACTACCGTACCTCTTTGCAGATTTTGGTCTTCATCAACGTCGTCGCTTATATAATCGATTTCTGGCTAGCCTGGGCCGCTGGAGTGACACTTTTATAGCAAAAAAAAAATTCAATTTCATTGAAACCCTGGTATTTACATATTTTTTCATCAAAATTTCACCTTTTTTTCGTTTTTGAAATTGTGATTTTGGAAAATCTCTCTGTTTTTGTGCAATTTGTTTAATCTTTTCACCAATAACCAACTCCATTCTATTTTTTTCAAAAGAAAAACCCCTTTTGCACTGACCGGACTCGAACCCGGACCATCCGACTGGTAGCCAAGCTCACTAACCACTCGGCCACCCGAAGCTTATCTAATTTTTGACTTTTATCAATTCCAATCCGTTACATGACATCCAGGACTCACGAAAATTACTTTATTTTCCCAAAATTCCCAGCTGATCGAGAGATTTTGCGGCGATCTCTAACGAGCGCCGTTTAGCCTGATGAAACGAAAATTCAAAGCTTTCAAAAAGATTTTCCCAAATCCTGGATGTCACATGTTCTCTAGAAATTCTCAAATTCTTGAAACAAGTCATTTCCCGGGTGGCCGAGTGGCTAGCGAGCTGGTCTCTCAGTCGAAGGGTCGATGGTTCGAGTCCGGGTCGAGCGGGAAGTTTTTGTTTTTTCGTTTTTTCGTTAGAATTTCGTTTTCCCATCGTTAGCTTTCCGTTTCCTGGTCATTTTACAGGAGTTTTTTTAATTGGAAACCTTTTCAAAAAATGGTGCCTTTTACGAAAAGATTTGGTCGATAAGCGCTCAAAAAAAATCTCTCAAAAATGCTTTATTTTTTTTTGTTTTTTTTTTTTGGTTTAAAAAGGGTGCTAATTTATGTGAAAAATTGTGAATTTCAATAAAATTTCTATAAAAAAAACCCGCAAAGAGGGAAAAATGGGGAAAATGGGAAAATTGGGAAAAGAGTTCCAGCTCCAGAGCTCTAGTAGCTCTAGTAGCTCCAGCTCCAGAGCTCCAGAGCTCTAGTAGCTCCAGCTCTAGAGCCCCAGAGCTCTAGTAGCTCCAGCTCCAGAGATTCAGAGATCCAGAGCTCCAGCTCCAGAGCTCCAGAGCTCCAGAGCTCTAGTAGCTCCTGCTCCAGAGCTCCAGAGCTCCAGAGCTCTAGTAGCTCCAACTCCAGAGCTCTATTAGCTCCAGCTCCAGAGTTAAGTTACTTAGTTAAATCCTATACAGTACTGCACAATGAAATATCATATTTTATTTGAAAAACGATCGTCACTTTACAGTTACATGGTCAAGCTGGAAGGCACACAACATTTTTAGATAGATTAGAAGACATTTAGTGGTCAAATGAGATTTGCATAAGAATGGATTGAGAATGGCTGCTTTTCTTTCATCATTTTGAAGATATTCAGTTATTTCACTGAAAAATGGTCAAGCTGGAAGGCACACAACATTTTTGGATAGATAAAGATATTCAGTGGTCAAATGAGATCCGCATGATATCCGTGGATTGAGAATGGCCGCTTTTCTCCTATCAATTTTAAGATATTCAGTCATTTCACTGAAATTTGTTCGATCTGGAACGCACACGAACAGATTTCAGCGAATTAATTGAATATCTTAAGATTGATGAGGGAAAAGCAACCATTCTCAATTCACGGATATCATTTGACCATTGAATGAATATCCCGTCGGTCTTTTCACTCCAGCAGCTACAGTGACCTCCAGCTTGGCCGTTTATCAGCAATTAATTGAATATCTTTAAGATCTGTAAGAGAAAAACAGCCATTCTCAATCCACGGATATCATGCGGACCTCATTTGACCACTGAATATCTTTTTATCTATTCAAAAATGTTGTGTGCCTTCCAGCTTGACCATTACGCACACAACGCACACAAAATTTTTTGGTTAGATAAAGATATTCAGTGATCAATGATATCCATGGATTGAGAATGGCTGCTTTTCTCTTACAGATCTTAAAGATATTCAATTAATTGCTGATAAATGGTCAAGCTGGAGGTCACTGTAGCTGCTGGAGTGAAAAGACCGACGGGATATTCATCCAATGGTCAAATGATACCTGTGGATTGAGAATGGCTGCTTTTCTCCTACAGATCTTAAAGATATTCAATTAATTGCTGAGAAATGGTCAAGCTGGAGGTCACTATAGCTGCTGGAGTGGAAAGAGAAACGGGATATTCATCCAATGGTCAAATGATACCCGTGGATTGAGAATGGCTGCTTTTCTCCTACAGATCTTAAAGATATTCAATTAATTGCTGAGAAATGGCCAAGCTGGAGGTCACTGTAGCTGCGAAAGTGACGATCGTTTTTTTTTGCTCAAAGATGATATTTCATTGGACAATGTATCGAAATCGAAAGAATCGAATAGAATAGAAAAAGAATAGAATTGAATTGAATCAAGAGAAGCTATAGAGCTCTATAGAGCTATAAGGACAGCCTCAAAGCCGAAAAGAAAATCCTTATCGATATTGAGCAAGAGCTTGAATTTTTGTCATCTCTCGAACCAATGTTGACTTCAACGACGACAAGAACTGAAATATAAGTGCTGAATATCGAAAAGAAAACCGCTGTGAGCAACAGATCGATGAAAAATCAAAACCAAACACCCCTTTGATGGGGATTTTCGTCGCTTTTTTCTGCTTCGAACCATTTTAAATCTGTTCTCATCGTTTTAGGCCCTATACCATTGCTTAGAGATCATAGTTTCGATTATTTTGGCCAATCTGGAAGTCACACAAGCTTTCGGCAAAGAGAAATTAGCATGAAGGTTTAGAATTCTGTTTTCAGATTCGTTCGATGGAGTTCTCATCCTTTTAAGTGCAATGGGTCTGCTTGGAGGGGATCGTTTTGATTATTTTGGTCAATCTGGAAGTCACACAAGCGTTTAACGAAGAGAAATTACTATAAAGTCTCAGAATTCTCTTAGCCAGCCCTAAGCCAGCCCTAAGCCAGCCAGCCCTCGGTCTCTCAGTGCTCTCCGGGAAACGCGCGCTCTCTGGCGCACTGCCGACAGCTTTACTGCTTTTCAAATGGGCAAATTTACAGGATTTTAATCCTTTCTAAGACTCACTGTTGGATTTGCTCTTTTCAAATGATCCTCAAGCACCTCAGCACACTTCTGAAAACGAGATATGTCTAATAAAGCTGAATCTCGAAAAAAAAACATAGCTGTGATGTCCAGATCGATAAAAAATCAAATCTAGATACCTCGAAATCAGGCCTTTCCTCAGGCTTGTGCCGCCAGCATTCCAAAATGAACATCCATCTGGAAAAATGGGATACTTTTTTGAGAAAAGAGTCCAAAAATTTGGATAATTAGCCTTATCTGGAGCGCACGCTAGCCTAAGAGCTCAATTGTGAGTCGAAATCTTGCACCAGGTCCACATACTGTAGCTGGACTAGTCTCTTGTCCAAATTATAGCTAAGAGCTGAGGATAGAAGAATGGGATAGAAGCCTGAGCTCCAAAACCTTTCCCAAGCTAGACTAGGATAGGCAAGAAGGCTTCCCTGCCCTGTTCTGACCTTGAACCAGGTCCACATACTGTAGCTGGACTAGTCTCTTGTCCAAATTATAGCTAAGAGCTTAAAAATTTGGATAATTAGGCTTATCTGGAGCGCACGCTAGCCCAAGAGCTCAATTGTGAGTCGAAATCTTGCATTCTGTAGCTCTCGATCCGACTCTACCGTAGCTGGAGCGTTAAAAGGCGTTAAAGTGATTGATACTTCTTAAAGTCCTGATTTTCCACAATCCTGGATGTCATCATAGAGTTTGCGACTGTTAAACAAAACCCATTCACCCAATTTATCAATTCCCCCCCATGGTTCGGTGTTTGATGCAACTTTTTGTTCTTATTTGCTTTCGGAAGTAAAATTATCTGAATAATTGGTAATTATGAACGTCACACTTGATTTGGAAATGATTGAAATCGAAAAAACATTGAAAAAACAATGCTTTGTCCCCGGGCGGACTCGAACCAGGACCCTCAGACTTGGAGTCTAGCGTGCTAACCACTCGGCCACTTGGACACTTAAGTATTTCGCTAATCTATTCAAATTTTTGTCTCTTCTGACATCCAGATCCTACAATTCTCTTGATAATTTTGCTTATCTAGCAATAGATTTTTGTAAAAAGCTCCAGTCCTGAACTCTAGCTATCAAAAATTGCATTTCGAAAAGATTTAAACTGAAACTTCTAGCATTTTGCAGTTAATTGCATTATGGCGGCTTGTAAAGTGGGAATTGGTTATGCTCTTGCTATGGACCAGCCTCGGACCAGCTTCGGACCTGGCTCTGAATTAGCCGGGCCCATCAAAAGTTCCTGGACCAGATCCTGAGCAAGATCAGGGTAAGGCTAGTAATTAAATGCTAATTCTGGATGTCACACTTGGTTTTGGAGTGATTAAAATCGAAAAAAGGTGGCTTTTGCCCCGAGCGGACTCGAACCAGGACCCTCAGACTGGAAGCCTGGCGCGCTAACCACTCGGCCACCCGGACACTTAAGTATTTCGCTAATCTATTCAAATTTTTGGCTCTTCTGACATCCAGATCCTACAACTATCTGGATAATTTTGCTTCTCTGGGCATAGATTTTTGTAAAAAGCTCCAGTCCTGAACTCTAGCCATCAAAAATTGCGTTTTTTGCTTTTTTTGCTTTCAAAACCCACAATTCCTTGTGGCATCGCATCGGCCTTGTATTCCGTTGTCCTCTTTGTATATTCATGGCCACTTCATCGTCACTCAAGCTGGATACGGTAGGCCGCCGATCGAGAACATTTCGTACAAAACGATACCGTAAGACCAGACGTCAGACTGTAAGGATTACTGTAATGAATGTCTGGACTTCACCGACCGCTCTCGAGAAGTAGGCGTCATTGATCGCCTCGCGACTCATCCAACGAATCGGTCGCGGCACCTCGACGCTCTTTTTCACTCTGGAAATGAAATTCACAAGATGAGGTCTTTTTTTTAGCTTTATTGGGTTGTGTGACTTCCAGGATTAAAGATTCAGTCAAAAAATTCAGATGTTTTCGGTTTAGAAACGACTAAAACCTCTTGAACTCCATCATTCAAA